GGCAATTCTTTGCGATGCACATGCCAACACTGCTCATCAAGAGGCACAGCCGCTGCAAGTGAGTTGATTCGGCCGCGGGCAGAATCGGGCAGATCTTGCAAAGCGAGTTCCGAAACCCCAGGTTTGACTACAGGATGCTTCTTGACGGCCAGCTCTTGAAAATATCCCAATAAAATCCCTCTTCAGCGGCAAATAGCCGCGCCCTTTGCACATTGCAATCCTGTTAGCTACTCCAACTGCAACCAAACATTCAATTCACCAGACATGCATCAGGCCCAAGCCGCGTTCCCATAAAAACGAAGGTGTGCTGCAGCACGCAGAAAGCCGCGATGCTGTCAGCACTCAACATATGAGCCGGGTAGTGGAGGTGCGTCTTGAAGAGTCGCGTAGACTCAGTGGCCAGGGATGTGACTGATTCACTGGCTCAAGACAGGTGCCCAAGCTACCAAAACCTGAGAACTAAATCAGCCGCACTTCATGCCAGGCTGTGAAACACGCGAGCAGATTATAGAGCTTGCGCTCGCAGCCGGCAATCTTATCTAGCGCATTGCTTGCATCACTGCCTTTAGCCCAGGTGCTTCTGTCACCCACTTGGCCATGAAAAACCCACAGATGCAGAACATCACATCCCATCGCCGATCGCCCGGATGATTGCGAGAGGCGTAGCACATAAAGTATATAGCCTGAGCACCGGCCAAGGTGTCACCAGCTTGCTTGCGTGCCTGAAATCGTGTCCGAGCTACTTGTGCAGGACCAAAGGAGAACAAAATGCAAGCCAATTTCAGAGAAATAGCTGTCAGCCACACCAGGTGAATGAAGACGATCTTCAGGCCAGCGGCAGGAAGCATCAAGCAAGTGCCTAAGCTGCATCAAGTTCACACCACGTGTTTGTCACGTGTTATGTGAAATCCACACAATTTGGAGGCGTGAAAGAACTTCAACCTGCTATTGTCTGGGCATCACCCTTGCAGAAACCATGCGGGCAAATTTGGCCTAATATGCTGACTTTGACGGCCGTTTGCAAATCGACTTGTCAAGTTCTGGCCCTGCAACCCTTTTTCCGAGACACCTCGTAGCAGCCAAACGGTTGACATGACGGCAAAAACCCAATGTCGATATAGTCGCCCTGAGCTGTACCCAAAGGGCAGCTCGCTCTTCCTGCGCGCTGGGCTTGACGAATTTAAGGAGAAACCGCTTCAAGCAACCCACGCTACGTACCTGAGCTGCCAGCAAAGTGCTGCAAACGAGTCATGCAAAATAGGCCGGATGTTTTTGGTCTGTTGCTTCCGTTTTCATTGGCTGCTGTCACCTTGGGCAAGCGGGACGTCGTATTCCTGATCAAGTGAGTGGGTTCGCGGCGCAGGGCCCGTGCGGGCAGGATCGCACTTCGTCGACGCAGAATCATGCCGCTGCAGAAAAACGTGCAGCAAAAGAAGTCATGACGCCGCTGGCCAAGTGCAGGTCACGGAAGCTCTTCCGAGCATCAAAACGAGACACTGCCTTAACTACATCCCGAGCTTGCTCATGCCGCGGCTACGAACGCCCCTGAGCTTCGGAGAGCGACAGCGCCCTACTTTCGAACTGCATGAGAAAACCACTTGAAAAAGGAGTGCTTCTGGATTGAATTGCTGCCGCTGGGGGATAGATAGATAGCTCGATTGGTTGATAGATGAATACATGCTCAGGTAGATAGACACGTAGCCAAAACGATAGCTATGAGGACAGAGAAAGACAGACAAGAAGACAAAGAGAAGGAAAGAAATGGACGAAACACAGAACAAATGATGAACGAGGAACAAAACGGAGACTGAAGAAGAAAAAGGACACGACGAAAGAAACACAAAAAGGAAGAAACGACGAAAGAAAGGAAAGAAAGAAAACACAAAGGACAAGAAACAAAATAAAGAAATAATAGAAATGAAGAATGCAGGAAGGGAAGAAACAACAAAAATAAATACAATGGAAAAAGGAACAATGACAAACAACGAGAAGAGAAAAGTAGAGAAGACACAAAAGGGGAAGAAAACAAAACGTAGTTTCAATGTGTTTGAAACGTCTGCCCACCGGCTTCGCCGGCTCTACTGGTAGCACCAGAAGCAGAAGTGGTAGCAGGAGTTTTGGCAGCAGTGGGAGTAGTAGTAGCAGTAGTAGTAGTAGTAGCAGCAGTCGTAGTAGAGCAGTAGCAGTAGCAGTAGCAGTAGTAGTACACTGGCAGCGCTGCCAGTACGATTACTAGTACTCTAGCAGCGGTAGCGGTAGCAGGTGCCGTATTAGAAGTGATGATACTAATTGTAGTGCCATGTCCTCTCTAGTTCTTTAGTGGGCCTGTTTGGTTTCCATCGTTCATGATCCTTGTGCGAAGAATACAAAGCCTGCTTAGCAAGTTGCAGTCTGTTTTCCCCGTGATTGCTCCCACAGGCGGTGCCCGGTATTCATCACCAGCACTGCAGTCCTGCCAGCATCTGAGTCTGCAAGATCCTGGCTGAAAGCTGCCCAATTGCTCTTCAGACATGAGGAAGGGGGGAACGGACTCAAAATGCAAGCAAGATGCCGTGCAGCGTGTTACGCTGAACTGGGAACACTTTTCTTGAACCCATAGCATTGCACACCTGCCCAGCCTTCTTCACCGATGATCGCAAAGATTTGGCGCGCCTGAGTCTCAAAGTCGGAGGGCTGGGCAGGTGGGCAGGTGAGCAGGTGGACGGGCAAGCGCGACGAGGGGTCATGAGGGGTCATTCACAGGTAAGCTGGCGAGGTCCGCGGGGCCACTGTTTGCATCTTTTACTCGCTGTCGGCGTTGTAGGTGCCCTGTACATCTCGGAGGTCGCTCTCACTTGCCAGGGGTGGTGCAATTCTATAGGGGTTCCGCCAATCTGCAGTACCCTCAACTTGAAGGTAAGAAGGAAGCATCTACATGTGGTTTGTTCTAGGGCAGCCGAATGACAAAAGTATGCAACAACTTCGCAGGCGTGCGAGGCTGGCTTGCATTCTTTGAAAGGGCTTTAGAGATGCCATGATAGTGCCAGCTCCCCCATGCCTTCAAGCGCAACTCACATTGATGCCAACACAAACAGGTGGAGCCACCACACCACACAGTCCAATCAGCAAAATGTGCCCAAGCCAACACAAAGAGCGGCAGCATGCTTTCTAAACAAATCGCCTTGCGGTCGCTCAGTTTTCGCGTGCCAAAAACTTGCGATGGTAACAGGTGAAGAACTCTTTGCCCCCAATGCGAAGACGTGTGGACGCCTCACGAAGGCCACAAACAGATTCAACTGTCTTGCGCCGACCCCCGGCCTCGTTTCTGTATGAGCCCGTCCAGGAAGTTGCGGTTTTGACATGCCTGCAAGGCAGCAGTGTCTCCTACACATTGCCATACCTGGCCTTAGCCTATGCCCGAGCCCTCGTTGCAAACAGGGATCACGCAGCCGTGTTGACTGCGCAATTTGTTCGCGAACACAAGCTCGGCCGTCCAACCATGCTGCATCGCCCGCCAGAACAACCCAAATTCAAGAGTTGTGCCGCGCATCAGCGTTTGCAGCAGGGTTGCGCGACAATGTGTGCACTTGGCTTTGCCTACATTGCGGGCCATGGCTCCCCTGCTTGGCTTGGAAGCTGCGCGGCATTTGCTTGTTGCCAGGTCTTTACCCTAGAACCTAACAAGGAGTGAGACGAATCGCATGCCCAACAAGCCAAACTAGCGGCAAACTAGGATCGAAGGTTGATCGAAGGCAGTTCTCGTTGTTCTTCTAGCTTTTTGTAGTATTCGGCCCATCCCTGTTTCAGAGCTCGACACAAAGTCGCGCCCCCTCTTGCCAGCCCCAACTCAAACTTGATGGCTGAGTGTGCCAACTGTGTCCCACCTCTTGATTAAATGCCAAATGTGTGCATGCCTTCGTGCGGGAAACAAGAAAGAACTAAGGACGACTGAAGTCTCAAAGCATGAAGCTGAATGGTCCCACTTGCCATGATTTGACCGCTCGCATCCGTAATTCCGTCTGTACTTTCAGGCCAATCTCTCAGCATGTGCTCAACACTGAAGAGTCAAATGTCGAGATTGGCAAACCTCTGATGCGGCTGCCTGCGTGATGTGAACAGCAACAAATTGGTACCCGGCGCTCGTTTTGCTCAACCGCGGCTCTCATGATGCCCTTGCGCCCTACCACCTTCCCAAAACGGCAACACGAAAAGACACGAGCCCTGTCCCCCATGTCCATTCACCCCTGGCCTTTGTCCAGAAAAATCTGAAGGATGCACCCTATCATACCCTATCTTAAGGCATGCGACTTGGGCCAAACATCCGCGGGCGTCACACTCGCTTGCTACGAGCAACCGAAAAGCGAAGAGCTGAACCCTTCGGACCTTCGCCTTTAGCCCGGTGCAACGCGCATGTTGGCCGGTCAAGCTCTTCGGCAAGCTCCGAAACCCTAGGGGCCTTCACTTCGCCAACATGGCGTGACACCTACACCTATTGGCCAGCACAAAGCAAATGAGGCAAACTGATCTCTGGGGACCTTCACTTTTGGAAAGAAACGCAAGGGCACGCTACCCGCTGTCAAGGGCAGCCTCTGAGCCAAAAGCCACCAAAGTGCCAAACGTTCCTCATGCCGGGGGTCACGGACATCTTCTAGCAGCCGTCGCGAGGAATCCAAGGCCACTGGGACAGCTGGCATGCGTTTCTGTTCTAAGCTCTTTGGAAACCAAGGTGAACATGTAAACATGACTTGCCCCGGAAGACACACTCCAGCAGAGCTAGACGAAGCTCATGAGAGCGCACCGCCTACCGCAGCTTCCCTTCTTGCAAGACTCATTGAGCGCAGCTTGATGCAAGACTCGAAGCAGCCAGAAGGCTTAGGTGCAACAAAATGTCTAGGAAGTTGAGGCCGAGCTTTCGTTGATTTGCCCCACAGTGAAACAAACAAACAAGCAGTAGGGTCTGTCTCAAAACAGGGGCCCCTATCCGTTCTTGTTTTGTTCCTTTTGGCGGCTTGCCAGGGCGCGTAGGTCAGGTAGGGCACTTTGTCCAGGCCCGCCAGGGGCGGCAGAGAAGGGCTGGCGCCAGTGCAGAGGATGAAGTGCGCGGCAGAGACCAACTCTCGACCTGGCCGACGAAACAATTCCCAAGGTCTGCCTTTTTCGGGAATGCCTTTTCTGAAACATCTCCAGCAAACTTGTTTGGAGCTGGTGTGTCTGTTTGAGTATTTGACTCAAAGAAACCGAAGGGGGGAAATTCCCGTTCAAACCCAGCAGGTGACATCATTTGGGTGCCTGACTAGCGTCCGGTTTGCGGCTCGATATGGCTCGATACTCTTTTAAGTGGTTTTGACGGGACACAACACGGTCTATTCTGGAAACTCCCCATGAAAAGACAATTTGGCAAGGGGCCTATATTAGCTTGTGTGCGTGTGTGCTACATCAGGTGCCAATTGACTGTTGCATTGGACTGCACTGTCCAAGAAGCCGTTGCTTCCTGACGAATGAGGCCCGCAAAGACCAAAAACCCTGCAAAACTGTAACACACACGCACATACGCATACGCATACGCACACGCACACACGCACACGCACACGCACACGCACACGCACACGCACACGCACACACGCACACGCCCACACGCCCACACGCACACGCACCCGCATACCCGCACACCCGCACACGCACACACGCACACGCACACGCACACGCACACGCACGCCCGCACACGCACACGCACACGCACACCCACTCCCACTCCCACACCCACACCCACACCCACACCCACACCCACACCCACAAACACACACACACACACACACACACACACACACACACACACACACACACACACACACACACACACACACACACACACACACACACACACACACACACACACGCATACACACATGACAGCGCCACACTCCAAATGTTCGTCGTTGCTTCCAGACGCTGTGGTAATTATGGAGGATGGACACAACTCAATGTATCACATGAGCATGGCTTCAAAAAAAGGTGAGCAACTTTTCTGGCCGAAGATCCGGAAGACCCGGAAGATCCGGAAGATCCCGAAGATCCCGAAGAACCCGAAGAACCCGAAGATCCAGATGATCCCGACGGTGCCGAAGTTCCCCAAAAGGAAACTGCAGTTTGGTTTGGATTGGGCTCGAATTGGTTTAGGGTTGGAGTGGGGTTTGGGCTGGCTTTGGGCTTCTTTTGGGTTGGTTCACGGTTGGTTCCTTGTGGCTCTGAAGCTTACGGGTTGGGGTTGGCTTGCGTTTAGGGTTGGTTTACGGTTGGTTGCATCGAGGTTACGTAGGTGGTTTAGGGTAGGCTGAGGGTCACTAGGGAAGGCAAATTCGACCTGAGGTCGCTGGGGATTGCTGGGTGAAATGCGACAAGTGCTACTGCCAACATTGTTTGCCTTGCTGTCAGCTTTACTTACTTCCTGAACGTTGGATGGCCGCAAAAGGGGTTAGCAAGACTGCGAGTATCTGACAACTTCCGGTTGGCAGCTGCGTTTCATTACAGTAAACCAATGTGATTGCAGCTCCCCCAACATCCAATGACAAACGCCCAAATCAAGTGCCCCAGGTCTGAACACATTTAGGCTAGCCCCGGCAAGGCACGAGAACACCCCGGCCCCAGCAAATAACTCACAACCCATTGAACTTGTCTTCAGCTTCAGCTTCAAAATTGTGGGAGGCGGCCCCAACCTTCAAATCAAGACTTGTGCCAAGGAAAGGACAACCGCTTGCCAAGTCAGAACACGCTCGTTGCCGCCACAAAGAAAAAAACAGAGACGCCCGGCACCTGTACCCGAACCCTGTCCTTTTGCGACCTCATCCCCACAAGCAAAATAGGAAATCGCCGGCACTTGTTCGACACGCACTTTCAGTACCTTTCAAAGAGTTCCGCCATGTCTAGGCTTCCACAAAAATATCCTTGTCTCTCCCCCTCCGAGACTCCCTTCACGTGAACTAAATAAGGTTGCAACAGGACTCGAAGCAAAGGCACCTTGTGTCTCATCCACCGGAGTGAGCTGCAAGGTCCGGGCATCCACAAAGGAAGCCTTCGCGCGCGTCGTGACATGGGAACCAACAAGAATGAACCGGTGGATAGGCTGAGAAAACCAGTTTTGGCCCTGGTTACATGCCCTCCCATCCCTGAATGTTGCATCGACTGGGGACTTTGGCCGTGAGCTACAATAACCAACTAGGATTGTACCCGACATGAACTTTGCGTGCATTGCGGTTCAAGGCAAAGGAACGTTTGGGGCTTGAACCCTTTGGCCATTGATGGTTCTTAACTTCTTTCCGGCCAAGCAAGCGACCATGAGCAACAGCTCAAATACCGCGGCCAGTTTGGCTTACTAAGTATCGCGAGCCGATTTGGGTAAGAATTATACGTCAATTTTCAATGGTCAGAGCAATCAGGCGCATTCAGGTGTCAAGGGCATGCGCGAAGGTAAAAAAAACAAAACGGGCGCTGAGCACGGTCTATGTTTTATTTCTTTAACAAGACTCCACGCACTGTTCATACGATTGTTTTTTAGCAGTCAGCACAGACGGTTTCATTTGTTCGGGTAGACTCAGTCTCCTCGCAAAGTACATATGGTTGAACGTTCAGCGCATCAGCGCACCGATTTCTTTTCTTTGGTAGACGGGCGCAAAACGTGAAAGAAGCTAGCGCGAGAGCGCGCAGAGAACTTGCGCAGATAATTTTGAGCCGAGCACTTGCGCAGAGAAAACTTGTGCAGAGAAATTTGCGCAGAGAACTGGCTCAGAGAACTTGCTTAGATAATGTGAGAGAAACTTGCTCAGACACATTTGCTCAGAGAAAGTTGCTCAGAAGTTTGCGCAGAGAAGCTTGCTGAGCGAACTTTGCTTTCGCCCCCCCGTTCTTCTAGCGTATGTTTGGTTGGGGGGTTCCCCTATCTTGTTACGATCCCATATGCGTGTGTATATATGCACATATATACATATCCCAGGCGATCCCAAACCTGTCACGTTAGTGTTTCTTCGCCATGTTGCTTTTTCTAAAAGGGTGGTTTCGTTGGTTGCCTACACAAAGAAATGTAATCACTGAGTACAAAATGAGGCGTCAAATCATTGCTCGCAAGGGCCTTTTGTGACTCAATTTTATTTGAATTGTCCACACAAGCAACGCCCCGCCTCAGTCTCATGCCATGCTTAAATTTAGACAGCGAGGATGGAGTTGAACTGCGGGTAGGTTCGGAGTGTTTAAAACTTCTTTTGGTGTCGTCTGTAATAACGCAATATGGTGAGTTGGTGGTGAACACTGGCGAGAAGTTGGTGACGCTTGAGAAGTAAGCAGGTGAGAGTGTTGTGAAAATGTGGGGCTGTTGTGAAAGGAGCGCAGAGTAACAGTTTGAAAGCGGTGAGAAGATTGAGAGTCAGAAGATGGTGGGCTGGTGAAAAGTTTGCAAGTTTGTGAAACGTGTGCAAGTTGAGGAAAAAACGGGAGTCTGTGAACGTCTGCCAAATTTGCGAACAGACAACAGAAAAGATGGCGAGTTGGTGAACCTTTTGGTAAGTGGTGAAAAGATGGCGAAAAGATGACTTTGTAGAACAAAATTGGTGACAAGAAGGTGAAAAGACGGTGGGTTGCAAAAAAATGCACGTTGGTGAAAAGATGGTGAGCTGGTGGAAATCTGGCAAGTTGGTGAGACGCTTGTGAAAAGATGGCGAGTTTGTGAAATTTGGCAAGTTTGCGAAGAGATGGTGAAACGATTGTGAGTTGGTGAACAATTTGCAAGTTGGTAAAAGAAGGTGAAATGCCGAAAAGTGAGCAAGTTGGTGGACAGATTGTGAGCTGGTGAATATTTGGCAAGTTGGTGAAAAGATGGTGAACAGATCGCAAACTGTTGCAAATTTGACAAGCTTGCAACATGTTGGCGAAAGCGAAAATTTGGCCAGTTGGTTAAAAGATGTGAAAAGATGGTAAACAGGTCGCGAGTTGGTGAAAAGATGGTAAGAAGATGGTGAACTGCCGAAATGTTGGCAAAAGTTGGTGAGTTGGTGAAAAGATGGTGAACAGATGGTGAACTGCCGAAAATTTCGCAAGTCAGTGAACAAAGTTGGCAAACACATTGTGAGTTGGTGACAAGATTGTGAACAGATGGTGAACAGATGGTGAGCTACCGAAAAATTGGCAAGTTGGTCCAATTTGGTGGCAAGTTGGTCCTGTGCGAAAAATTGGCAAGTCGGTGAAAAGATTGTGAAAAGATGGTAAAAAGATGGTGGGTTGGTGAAAAGTTGGTGAAAAGATGGTGAGCTGCTGAAAATTTAGCTAGGTGGTAAAAAGTTTGTGAATTTGCGAAAAATTGAAAAGTTGGTGAAAAGATTGTGAAAAGATGGTGACAAGGTGGAACACTTCTGGGCACAGCTGGAACACTTCCAGAACACTTCTTCGGAGGACTGGAACACTTGTGGAACACTTCCAAGAGGTCAGGAATTTCACCATCTTTTCACCAACTTGCCAAATTTTTGGCAGTTCACCATTTGTTCACCATCTTTTCACCAACTCACCATCTTTTTACCAACTTGCAAGCAAAAGAGCCAATTCGCCAAATTTTCGGCAGTTCACAATCTTTTCACAATCTTTTCACCAACCCACCATCTATTCACCATCATTTTACCAACTCACCCTCTTTTACAAACTTGCAAACAAAAGCGCCGATTCGCCAACTTTTTACCGACTTGCCAACATTTCGGCAGTTCACCATCTTTCCACAATCTTTTTACCAACTCACAATCTGTCCACCATTTGCTCGCCAACTAGCCAAATGTTCGCAAGTTCGCCAACATTTTGCGAACTTGTCAAATGTCCAGCAGTTTGCTATATTTTCACAAACGTTCATGTTTGTTTGTCAGTTCACCATTGTTTCACGTGTTTCACCAGCTTGCAACAAATCGCACATTTGCCAACATTTTCCAAACTTGCCAAACACTTACCAACTCAATCTGTTCACAATCTTATTGCCACCTTTCACCAACTTGCAAACTTGCTGTCAGTTCAGAATCTGTTCAACATCTTTTGAGCAATTTGCAGACTTTTCGACCAGCCACCATTGTTCGCAAAATCTGTTCACACACTGTACAAACCGCTAGGGGAAAACTGTAGTCAGGCCCAACGTATCCCAACTACAGTTTTACCTTCATGATTTAGGCGGTGTGTTGCTGGGGATGCTGGGGCCTGCTGGGGGTTTTGCCGGTGATGCTGGGTGTTGCTGGCGCCGCTGGCCTTAAAAACGCGAGGGAAAAACTGTAGTCAGGCCCAACGTGCCCCGACTACAGTTGTTCCATCATTTTTTGAGCGGTGTGTTGCTGGGGATGCTGGGGGTGTTGCTGGTGATGCTGGGGACGCTGGCCTTAGAAACGCTTGGGAAACGGTTGGGAAAAAACTGTAGTCAGGCCCAACGTGCCCCGACTACAGTTTTTCCCTCGTTTTGTTTTTTGGCGGTGTGTTGCTGGGGATGCTGGGGGTGTTGCTGGTGATGCTGGGGACGCTGGCCTTAGAAACGCTTGGGAAACGGTTGGGAAAAAACTGTAGTCAGGCCCAACGTGCCCCGACTACAGTTTTTCCCTCGTTTTGTTTTTTGGCGGTGTGTTGCTGGGGATGCTGGGGGTGTTGCTGGTGATGCTGGGGACGCTGGCCTTAGAAACGCTTGGGAAACGGTTGGGAAAAAACTGTAGTCAGGCCCAACGTGCCCCGACTACAGTTTTTCCCTCGTTTTTTTTGGCGGTGTGTTGCTGGGGATGCTGGGGTTTGTTACTTTTGCTTGTTGTGTGTGTGTGGCTGTCACTGGCCTGCTTGGTCGGGTTGCTGCTTTTCGTGAAGTGGGATTTTCCCAATAGGTTTCTAGTTTGGTTGTTGTGTGTGCCTGCCTTGTTTTCTCTGCGCAGCAGGGCTTTTCACTGGCCTGCTTGGTCGGCCTGGCGCTTTTCGTGAAATGGTTCTCTTTTAGTAGAGCTTCTAATTTGTTTGCTGTCTGTGGCTGCCATTTTTTTGTGAAGCTGGACCCCTTTCAGGGCCTGTAGTTGGCCTGCTTGGTCGGCCTGCTGCTTTTGGTGAAGTGGGACTTTTTTGGAGGGCTTCATCACAATACAGCTGATGCGCCTCGTAATAGTAGCAATGTCCTTTTGCTTGAAAAGCACATATGGCTCGCTATCTAAACTGGCAAACCCCAATGAAAAACGACTGAAAAAGGTAAAAACAGATTAAAACAAATACAAAACGATTAAACAAAAAAAGATAAACAAAGATAAAACAAAAAAGATACTATCTGTTAATATCGTCCATATGTTTTAGTAGAGAATATGTGAAAACTTATTATCTTTTACTTTCCCGAGTAGCTACTCCTAAGTCTACTATAAGTCCGCCGGAACATAGCCAAACAAATCTAAGATAAACATAGGTTAACCACCTGATAAACAGACTTATGTCTGACATACTATCCTCTATTTCCAAGCTATCTGACTGCGAGCCTTCTTAGTACTGTCAACTTGGTACAATTCTATGCGACTTTTGCGCGGCGTATGTATTGTTCAATGATTGTTGCGTATAAAAACCGTTTTACGCATAACCTATGCATAACTTCTGCATAACTTCTGCATAACTTCTGCATAACTTCTGCATAGGAATTGTTTTATGCAGCCTATGTCACTGACAAAACAACTTCTGCATATATGCAGAAGTTGCCCTACTAAAATCAGTATTACTTCTGCATATATGCAGAAGTTATGCAGCCTATGTTTTTTTATGCAGAAGTTATGCAGAAGTTATGCAGAAGTTATGCAGAAGTTATGCAGAAGTTATGCATGTGTGCCCTCAGGTTTCGCATATTCCACACTTTATGCACACATAGTCACATAGTGTTATAAAAAAACGATTTTGGGTTTGAGGAGCTGTTTTTTTGAGGCCGACACCTGATGACATCATCAAGACCGCACTGTCAGAGGACGCGGTCATGACACCCTACCAATGGAAAAATCCCACTTCAAGAAAAGCAGCAGGCCGAGCAAGCAGGCCAGTGACAAGCCCTGAAAAAACCAACTGCACAAAAAAAAACTGGCAGCCACACACACAACAAGCAAACTAGAAGCCCAATGGAAAAATGCGTTTCAAGAAAAACAGCAGGCCGACCAAGCAGGCCAGTGACAGGCCCTGAAAAAACCCACCTTCACCAAAAAAAGCAGCTAGAGACAACAAGCAAACTAGAAGCCCAATGGAAAAAATCCTACTTCAAGAAAAGCAGCATGCCGACCAAGCAGGCCAGTGACAGGCCCTGAAACAAATGCACCTTCCCCCAAATAAATGGCAGCTATAGACAACAAGCAAATGGGAAGCTCTACTGAAGACATCCCACTCCATGAAAAGCAGCAGGCCGACCAACCAGGCCAGTGACAGGCCCTGAAAAAAACCCACCTTCACAAAAAAAAAGCAGCTAGAGACAGCAAGCAAACTAGAAGCCCAATGGAAAAATCCCACTTCAAGAAAAGCAGCAGGCCGACCAAGCAGGCCAGTGACAGGCCCTGAAAAAAACCCACCTTCACCAAAAAAAATGGCAGCTAGAGACAACAAGCAAATGGGAAGCTCTACTGAAGAAATCCCACTCCGTGAAAAGCAGGCCAAGCAGGCCAGTGACCGGCCCTGAAACAAATCCGCCGTCACCAAAAAAAATGGCAGCTAGAGACAACAAGAAAATGGGCAGCTCTACTGAAGACATCCCACTCCATGAAAAGCAGCTGGCCGACCAAGCAGGCCAGTGACAGGCCCTGAAACAAATCCACCTTCCCCCAAATAAATGGCAGCTAGAGACAACAAGCAAATGGGAAGCTCTACTGAAGAAATCCCACTCCATGAAAAGCAGCAGGCCGACCAAGCAGGCCAGTGACAGGCCCTGAAAAACACCAACTGTGCAAAAACATGCATTTGATATTTTCTTTTTGAACCCCCCAGGTAAAGAACCATCACTTTTGGGACTCGGGATTTTGATTTTTTGATTTGTTTGAACCCACCAAGCAAAGAAACATCACGTTTGGGGCTCGGGATTTTGAACTTTTTGACTCCCCAGGTAAAGAAACTTTTGGGACTCGGGATTTTGAACTGTTTGATTCTTTTGAGCTCCCCAAGTAAAGAAACATCACGTTTGGGGCTCGGGATTTTGAACTTTTTGATTTGTTTGAACCCACCAAGTAAAGAAACATCACGTTTGGGACTCGGGATTTTGAACTTTTTGAACTTTTTGACTCCCCAGGTAAAGAAGCTTTTGGGACTCGGGATTTTGTACTTTTGATTTTTTTGAACTCCCCAAGTAAAGAAACATCACGTTTGGGGCTCGGGATTTTGAACTTTTTGAACTCCCCAAGTAAAGAAACATCACCGTGGGGGCCCGGGATTTTGAACTTTGTGAACTTTTTGAACTCCCCGAAACATCACTTTGGGGCCCGGTGTTTTGAACTTTTTGAACTTTGTTGGTCTCCCCAACCAAGCCAGGGTTATCGACCTTTTTTGTTTGTCCTTCAGTCCAGGAACTCAGATTCGAGGGGCTCTGGATGTTGACCTAATTTGTTTTTCCTAAATTCCCAAGTAAAGAAGCATGACTTGAGCGACCCAAGTTGGGTAACTGCCACCAACCCAAACTAAATGAAACAAGCGGCCCCTCCAACCAATCAACCCTAACTACATGAAACAAGCGGCCCCTCCAAACCAGCAACCGAAACTAATGGAAAACCGGCCCCCTCCCAACCAACAACGAAAATTGAATAAAGCTAGAGCCATCAACCCACACTAGATTGAAAAAGCGGCCCGTCCACACAACCAACCCAAATTAAAAGAAACAAGCGGCCTCTCCAAACCATCAACCCAAACCAAACGGAAAAAGCGGCCCCTCCACACAACGAACCCAAACTAAATGAAACAAACGGCCGCTCCAAACCAGCAACCCAAAGAAATGGAAAACCCCCCCCCCACCCCCCCCCCAAACCATCAAATGGAAAAGCGGACCCCTCCAAACCACCGACGAAAATGACGTGAAATTAGTACAATCAACCCAAACTAGATGAAACAAGCGGCCCCTCCCAACCAGCAACCCAAACTAAATGGAAAAAGTGGCCCCCTCCAAACTACCAACCCAAACTAAATGAATCGAGCGGCCCCTCCAAACCAGCAACCGATAGACGGAGAACCGGCCCCCTCCAAACCGCCTACCCAAACTAAATGAACACCCTGAACCACAAACCCAAACTAAATGGAAAAAGCGGCCCGCTCCAAACCTCTTCTTTGCAAAGCCAGGTTTTCCCTCTTAATTTGTTTTACGTTTGGGGATTTTCAGATACTTATTTCACTGTAACAGGTACAAATATTATTGCGCCAGGATGATGCCATTGTTCGGATGATGATTATATATGGCTATGACTTTTTAAAGGTATGTCACGCCCCACGCAGCGCGAATCTTGGTAAGGAGGTATGTAAGGGGGGGCTCTTGTTAGTCTGTCATGAGAGAAAAAGTGCTTGACACTTCCACAGTTCCAGCACGAAAGTCGCAACTATTGATTTATCCGGCCCCTTCCCTGCTAATTACCTGTTGCAACATGTCTTCTGCTGCAGGGCAAGCTCTTTGCAACTCTGTGCATGTGTTTATCTTGTAATCGTTGTTTAATCTGTTTTTAACTGTTTGTTTTTGTCCTTTTTATCTTGTTTATCTGTTTTTTTTTAATGTTTTAACTTCTTTTTTTTGTTATCTTTGGTTTTTTGCTGTATCTTTTTTCTTTAGTATCTTCCCATTAGAAGAAACAATAGATACCAAGTTCAGACTAAGTGTCCGGTATCTAATCTAGACTATCTACTTACTTTCTCTTATATCTGCACTATCTTGCCACGAGCCTTCCTAGTATTATGTGAATGTCGTGGTAGTGAAAGGAAGTGAACAGTGAACACATCAGGTGGATGACACTACTACATATGATGCACGATGCTTGGGTTTATGTTGTGCACTTGGCCTGCGTGAGAAAATGAAGGTCCGGCTGATGTCTGTATCGGCGGCTGCCATGACCACGAGCTGAGTTTGCACTATTCTGGCAAACCAGAGGTTAGTTTGTGTGAAACTAGGTCAGGTTGCCCTGTTTTGCCGGGGGAAGGGCCTGCCACACCTGGGTAGCGTTTTAGACTCTAAGTTTAGACTTTTAGATTTTGGATTTAAACCCCAATCATAAGACAACACAGTATTGATGCTAGGAGCTTTTTTTTATGCGCCCGAGAGATTGAGTTTGCACATTATGGCAAACCAGAGGTTAGTTTGTATGAAACTAGGTTAGGTTGCCCTGTTTTGCCGGGGGAAGGGCTTGTCACACCTGGGTACGACATAAAAAACCCCATCCGTCACCCAAATCGGCTCGCGATAATTAGTAGTTTGGCTTGCTTTCTCCTCCATCGCTCCAAGCCCCGTGTGCATCCACCACCCCAAGCCAAACCCAAACAAAGGATGCCACCAACACCGACTGCCCTTAGCGTTGCACACTCCAAGAAATCACTGGAAGTTCGGTATGACAGTTCTTCGCAAATGTCATTTGGGGAGGGGGGACGGCTCCAAGCCGAACATAAGCAAAACCTGGCCCTAAAGTCCAGGGGCTCATGGGAAGTCATTTGGCCACTGGCAAAATGCAAGCCAGGAGCATGATAGCCCAAGCGCACGTGCACCCCAGAGGCTTGGAGAACCTCAGGGCTGTCATCCTGGCGGAGAGGAGAAGTACTATTTACCTGGTAAATAGTACTTTACCTCAAGCGCCGGTCAAGAGATCCCAACTTGCGTTGATGCAAGCAACTCTCCGGGCTGGCCCCTTCCCAGCCTGAACGTTCCTACGATGATCCCTCGGCAGCTTAGCCTTTGGGGGGGGTTGATGACCAAAGGTGCGCACTCTCACACCAACCCCAAAGCAATTTCCAGCAGCTCCTGTTTGTAGATCTTCTCTTGGCAGGACTTGATGTGTTGTTTCACCTCAGGGCAGGCGCCACGAGAGTACAAAGTGATTTGCCCCCTCCGCCCATCCCAGTGGGCCTTCTGCCAATCGGTCCTCACAGCCTCTGGGTCCACACCTGCGCACAAAGCGCGACTTCAACAGCTGCCAAAATATCTGGCTCTGAAAAAGCTTCTGATACTGATGGACCAGTCATCCCAGGCTGGGATGCAAGAAAGAAATAGCTCGATGAAAGTTGCGTGCATGTGCGTGGCTTGGATCTTGCTGCTTCTGAACCAACCTCCCGCGCGCAAACCTTTTGCAACTTGCTTCCAACTTTGGTGTCACGATTTCTTGGAAATTGGCGAGAGAATCGCCGTCCAGGGCGGCGGCGGCGGCACCGCCCGGGGTGTCATCGACACCACCCGGGTGGCCGCAAACACGTCCACTACCGGGTACAGGGGCTGATCCAAGTCCTCGGCCGGCACAGCGGCCTGCACCTGTCACAGAGCTCCCAACCAGCCCAAACAATTTGCACCGCTCTTGGGAAAGTAGGAAAGGACTACACTAATCCCTTCCCCCTAATAATAAACGACCCCCCCCCCAATAAAAAAAAATACCCGGCCTGCAAAACAATTTTATTATTAGGGGTCCCCTGGTTCTGGAGGGCAGGTTTTGGAGGTACTTCTTGTTCTGTGTAGGCTTTTTTGCAACTGTGGTCCCCCTGTAAAGGAAACGTGCTCCCAGAGCTCTGGCTTGAAAGTCGCAACTTTGTAGTGCAGCCGTGTAAAGGAAACGTGCTCCCGGAGCTCAGGCTCGAAAGTCGCAACTTTGTAGCACAGCCGTAGTAAAGGAAACGCGCTCCCGGAGCTCTGGCTCGAAAGTCGCAACTTTGTAGTACAGCCGTAGTAAAGGAAACGTGCTCCCGGAGCTCTGGCCTGAAAGTCGCAACTTTGTAGTACAGCCGTAGTAATTAAAGGAAACGTGCCCCCGGGGTCCCCTAATGGGGCTGGATTTGAGTACGGGCAGGAAAATATCTACTTTAGAATTGGTTTAGTATTGGCTATTCTAAAAGTAGTATTCCCGGATTTGGGACTTCCGAAACAAATATTTATTGTTAGGGAGACCTTTATTAATAATAGGGGGAAGTGATTACACCACACCCCCCCCCACCCCCACCCCCACCCCCACCCCCACCCCCACCCCCATCCCCACCCACCCCACCCCCACCCCCATCCCCACCCCACCCCACCCACACCCACACCCACTATCCCCACCCACCCACCCACCCACCCACCCACCCACCCACCCACCCACCCACCCACCCATCCATCCATCCATCCATCCACCCACCCACCCACACACCCACACACCCACACAGCCACACAGCCACACACCCACACAACCACACGCGCACGCGGACGCGCATGCGCACGCGCACGCGCGCACCCACACACGCCCGCGCACACACCCACCCACCCACCCACCCACCCACGCACGCCCGCACGCCCGCACCCACTCACCCACCCACGTACGCACGCACGCACGCACGCACACACGCACGCACGCACGCACGCACGCGCGCTCACACGCACACGCACACGCACACGCACACGCACATGCACACCCACACCCACAGCCACAGCCACAGCCACAGCCACAGCCACAGCCACAGCCACAGCCACAGCCACACACACACACACACTCACACACACACACACACACACACACACACACACACACACACACACACACACACACACACACACACACACACACACACACACACACACACATACACACTCACGGGGCGACACGCGCATGCACACGCGCACACAACCCCTTTGCACATGAACAAACACGATACGTACACAAATAATAAACAAAGAAACAATCAAACAAACAAACTAACTAACTAACTAACTAATTAACTGACTAACCAACTAACTCACAAGATAAATAGAGCACAAGCACACAGACACACAGATACACAGGCACACAGACACACAGGCCACGCACAGACTCACACACTCACGCACTCACACACACACACACTCACACACCAGGCAACACGCGCAACAGGCCCAACAGGCGACACACAACCCACAGAACGCAGCACCAACACAGCATAAACACATGCTCACACACGCCGCACGCACGCGTGCTCGCTTAATCTTTGTGAGCAAGAACCTGCCCGCCTGCAGAACTGTCTCGCCGTCTACGAAAAGCACGATGTCCCCTGCTTGGGTCACTAAAAATCCCACCCTGGCGCCCGGATGGAGGCTGTCCGCTCTCCAAGAGGTCCGGAACTCTTCACCGTCAAGGAAGGCACAGCCCCAGTATCCCACCTTGGACTGCATTTGGGCGCTCCGGGATGGGTCCCAAAACAGCCAAGAGCAAATTCGCAGCGCCATCTCGCATCCAAGCTAAGTTCAATTTGGCTGCAGGGCCAGCAATTATTTTGAGGACAAAGCCAAAAATACGCTGAGCCAAAGAACACTCGAAGCCAACTCAAATTGACCACTGAAAAGAAAGCTCAGGCGTTGGGTTGGGCCCCTTCACCAAGTGGCCACTGAGCTCTTGGGAATCCGCCAGGCTTTGTCCGGGATCCGCTTCAGCTCGCTTGGGCTGGTCAGCGTGGTCCCAATGCCCAGGCCGCCAACCCAGCCAGGCACCGTGTCTTCGACCTCAGGAAATGGCCAAAGTGTTGCCTTAGTTGCCTTTGTCCATTCCACGAGCGCTTGCCCAAACGATCTGTCAGAACAAGTTGCGTCGTGCAAGGCATGGCCCTCCAATCACCGCATTGCTTCAATTGCCCTTTCCAACCCCCGCCTGGATCTCAAAGTAGCGTCCATGGGTCTGAAAAGGTAAAGGCGCCGCGCCTACCGCCACTGACTGCCTGCAACCTCGCACGCGGGTGGCGCGGTAGCCATGGTCCGCAATCTCCAGGTTTGGCCCACTGGCGCTGGGGGAAAACGGCGGGGCCGTGTCCCCAAACTCCACTCTGGGCTGCTTGGTGGGAAGCGGAAGGACTGGGTAGCTGTGGTCAAGCTCACACGGCTTTTGCGGCGCGCTGTCTTCCAAAATGGATTCACGCGCCGGAGACCGAGTTGGAGAGAGACCGGAAAGGGAGAGGCCGTCTAGGCCTTCCGGCTCCATGGAGGCACCAGAGGTATGCTGGTGAATGGCTGCGCGGGTCTGTTGCATTTGGGAGATCAGGTCCACGCGTGCCTCGAGAGATTCCAACAGCTGCAAGAATTGCGATTCCGTGGATTCCTCATGCCGATGCTGAAGTTGATCGTAGGCCTGAAAATCTGGCTCCGGCACCGGCTCCGGCTCCGTGCATCCTTCGGGCCATTCCTGACGCATCCACTCATCTCGGCTCCAGGGCATACGCCAGCTACCGTGGATGTTGGCGGCCTCGTCGCCCAACTGGAAGTGCTCCTGCAGTGGGTCCTCAAACTCGTTGCGCGGCATCGGGGCATAGACAGGAATGTGTGGCCCTGGTACGGAGGCCGCGGCTTGGGGCGGCGGCCCAAAGGACTGCCGGGACGGCTTCACGAAAGGTCCGGGCCCCATGGGAGCAGTCATGGAACCCAGCATCATGGGCATGGCTGGCGACATGGGGTTCGTCACTGGTGCCATCGGTGCTGGCCCCACCGCTACTCCCACAGGTGCCATGGACCCCACGGGGTAGAGCCCGGAGCCCAAAGGCACAAGGCCCGAGCCACCCATTCCACCCATTCCACCCATTCCATGCAATCCACCCATTCTGTCATATGGCTGCATGGCTCAAGACACCTCGCACGTCTTGTGCGGATGCAACCTGAGCCAAGGCAGCTGCTTCCCACTCTGACTTGTGTGCCCCACATTGATATGAGAATAGGCAGCATTGTTCCTTACCTTTTGCCTGCATGCCCCTGATGCGACGTCATAGTCTGGGAGAATATGGAAGAATATGTTCATTGTAGATTGTAATACTACTCCGTACGCAGCTGTGCACATGTTCTTTCTGGCTGCTTGCTTGGTATACTGCATCATTGTGCTCACTTCATGATGCCTGCATGATCGGTTTGAAAAGCTGCCACCCGTTTTGAAAGCGGGCAGGGAGCCACTTCCGAGCAACAGCGCAAAGCAAACTGCTCATCGAAGCGTTGGCCAAGAATTCTTGCTAGCTACCCTTTAGGTGACTGAGTGATGTCGATACCATCCCTGCCTGCGACACCAAAGCGACCACCGTTCCGGGCTTCATGCGCGGCATGCGCACAGCGAATCAAAGCCTGGCAGCTTGCTCTCATTCTAACGCCACCGGGGTGGCCTGGAGGCGCGAAGGCAAACCGTCCTGTCTCCAATTGCTTTTCCTTCCACTATTTCCACTGCAAAAGTGGCAAGTCCCAGATCCAGAAATGGCCGAAAAAGATCTGCAACGCCTTGAAGTAACTGCATAAGCAAGCTTTCACTATTGGAGGGAATGCCCGAGGAAAGCCTCGAAGCACCTACAGGGCCACAGGCAATGGAAACCGGGCTCTCTCGGGCCAGCCCTTCAACCCCATCAGCCATAGCCACAAAAAAAGCCGCGCCTTGGAAGGCACGCAGCCGAACCAGGTGCAGTCCCCCCCCAGGCGCGGCAGCCGTTCCACCAGCAGCGCTCGCGCGCCAAAGCGGGCCTATGGCGTGGCTTCTGGGAACGGAAGGCTTACCCTCTCTCCCAACATGGCACCTGACAGGGGGTCCCTCCAAGAGGAAATTGATCCAGGTACCCTTTCACAGGTGCCATGTTAGTGGGAGAAAGGGTAAATGTTCTGATTAGAAAGCACCGGGCGCCAGCTCTTCTGCAGGAATGCTGACCGTCTCCTCAAATTGCCTGCTGCCCACCACCACAAAAACATCGATGAGATGCATGAAACATGCTCAGGCCCTTCTTGGATTCATGGTTTTGATAACATGTGTATCTCGTTGCTCAAACTACCGCAGACTTCAACGCGGCATGCTTATATGTACATCCTAACAAAATGCACCAAAAGTGCAGCTGCGGCAGGCAGGGCATGAAACACACATTGCTTGATACCCCTGCCAGCACCCCAAACACATTGCTGACTGCCGCCAAAATCCTGCCAAGCTGCTGCTGTCTTCGCAGCAGTGAGCCCTCCAGATCCCGCACCAATGACTACAACATCGTAGTGGTTGGAGCCAACCTGCGCCGCAAAAAAAAACGGCTGTGGCGGCACAACAAACACACCCAAAATGCCAAAACGCCTCTTCTAGAGAAGGATCCCAAATTCTTCAGGATTCCGTCAAGCAGCTCCAAGTTCCGCTCAATTGGCTGTGACCCCCAGTGAACATCCCAATCCCCACTGAAATAGGATGGGTGGCGCACCTACCCCAAAATGGGATCCCATTGGTTTTGACCCACAGCCAATTGGCTTCACCTGCACTCGGAGCCAAAGGGCAACAGCCCCTGGTGCAGTCCTCGCGGCTTCCAAGCCCTGCATAGTCCTCCCATAGGCTCCCAGGCTTGACCCATCCGATCCCCGCTAGCCAGAATCTGCCCAGAGGAACACCTAGAAGACAAAACCAAACTCCAGCCTGCTGCGCACACCATTGTTGATGTTTGCGCATTTTGCGGGGAGAGGGGAGAATCTGTTTCCAAAATGCTCTGCAAAACTTCATTAGGATGGGTCTCCCACAAACCGAGACTTCGGGAGAGCCAACTTAATTTAGTAGAGATTCCACTTCGTTCGCTGGCTTCACCGAAAACAATTCTAGGGGAAGATGTATGGAATGCTCCTGACACAACCTTTGGACTGGTCAGGTAGAGGGTATATTGGAATGGGGTTTCCAAAACTAAGGATTAGGAGGTTGGAGGCAGGGGCCGGGCCACGACAGGCTGCTTGTAAGATGTTTTGAATGGGATGCCTGGAGGTGGCCCTTCGGGGCCAATGCTGCATGTGAGGCCGCACCAGTTGCATCGGTACGGTCCCAAACGCTTGAAAACTGGCAAAAAGCCAAATGAATCACAAGTAGTGCAAAGAAATGTTCAAGATTTAGGAAACTCGTGTGGCTTGACCTTCTTGGGCTACGAGCAAAACTGGACCAACAACCGGAAACATCGAAAACCATGTGTACCCAAACTTCCCGCCTCTTGGCCGGGCATGACGGGTTGTTGCCCCGCCTGCCTGGTCCCCTGAAGGCCCTTGAGCCAAAGGCTGGGGAGCTGGCAGGTTGTGTGTCCGCCATCTGCTGCCATCTCAAGGTCCCTATGGTCCCTCTTGCTTGTCTTTCCAGTCTGTGTCCCGGCACCCTTCGACACCCCGCCTCCATGTCGGCCTGTCCTGGCCGAATGGAGCAAAAGGCCCAGCACTCTAACCAGAACCTTGTGCACAGGTGTCAAGGAGTCTCCCTTGGCCCGGTTCCAGCACACAGGCACAGCGGCCTGGGACCAAAGGTCGAACCTCCGGGCTAGTGAAGCGAAGCCAGTTCAAATGCATCAGGTGACATCAAAGTGTTTCAACTCTCAACTACGGAGTCCCGGGTTCATCCCCACAAAGGGGTTGCAGGTGCGGGCCCTGTCCCAACCCTAAGGCGAGAGGCCTAATTATACAAGAGCATGCCCGCGCAACAAGGAGGCCGCGTTGTTTTTTTTTCTCACTGAATTTACAACGCTTTTCTGTGCTAGCTTCTCTGCGCAAGCAGATTCCTCTCTGCACATTTGTCCGTGCAAGTTCTCCAAGCAAGGTTTTTGGAGAAGTGATCTGTGCGAGGTTCTCCCAGCAAGTTACTATGTCCACAGGTTCCTGCACGCCTCTATGAGCAAGGCCTTCTTCCCCGAAAATTATCTGGGCAATGTCTTTGCGCAAGTGTGGTTCTGCAAAATATGTGCGCAAACTATCTGCGCGAGCCTCTCATCTTGTAAGCGTAGATCTCGGCAAAGCTTGGTGGTAAGTTCAACGCCCAAATCCTGAAAACCGCAATCCCTATCGCAAAACTAAAATTTGTGTAAATATCCGTTCGCGAAGGTCTGTGCGTAAGCTGCTGTCCCAAAATGTGCACGCAAAAGTTTCGCCGCAAACGTGTTTATGTGTACCCTTCTGTGACAGTGCTTCCACGCTGCGAATTGCTGAGTATAAGTGGAAGCTTCTTTGCACAAGTTCGGAACAAGTGCTCTGCACAAGTGCAAAAGTTGCTCAGTGCATGTTGCGCTGCGCGAATGCTCTGCTCAAGTGTTCTACGAAAGTTGCTCTGCGCAAGCGCTGTGCCAGTTGCTCTGCGCAAGTTGGTCGCGCGGACGCACAAGCCGTCAGTTTTTGCACGCCGACCAGGCCGATCCCCACAGGTCCTTCCGCGCCGCCGTAGAAATAATATCTGCGAGTCGAGTGTGAGCCCTCGCAAGTGCGCTCGAGCAAGCAAAGCGCGTGTGCGCCCACGCCAGTTTGCTCGCGCAAAAGCGCTGGCGCAAGTGCGCTTGTGCAAGTGCACTGGCGCAAGCGTGCCTGTGCAAGTGCGCTCGCGCAAGCGCGCTTGCACACGCAAGTGTGCTCGTGCAAGCCGCGCACAAGTGCGCTCGCGCGAACGCGCCCGCGCAAGTACGCTCCGCACGCATGCCTGCGCGCAAGTTCGCTTGTGTGCTCGCTAGTGACGTTGGCTGGCGATTTTGAGTGAAGAACACATTTCGCAACGCTCTCGAGAAAAACGGTTTTGCTACTTGCGCAATCTGCCGAAAATCGCTTCCGGCTTGCCGGGGCGTTTGCACATGGCGGGGGCACCGCAAAAATTGCAATGTCTGCTTGTTTCTGCGCTTCGACAAGCGTCATTTTAGCAGGGTGTGTGGGTCCGCCCCCACAGCGCCGCTTCAAAAGATTAACTTTACGACGTTGCGCATAGTTGGTCGCGCAAGTCTTCGCGCAAATGCGCTTGTGCAAGTTCTCCCGCGCAGGTGCGCTCGGTGTTGTCTCGGGCAAGTTCTTGCGCGCAACTTCTTTGCTTAATTTCCGCTGTGCAAATTAGCTTCAGCAATCTCGCCTCTCCTGCAAAATTCCTTTTCCTAATGCTCTGAGTGCTACTATTTAATGTGCGCAAACTATCTTACCAAACGTTTCAATGGCTGCGCGCAGCAATTTCGGGAGGGGAGCTAGATTTGTCTGTGGGTTGGCTTGCTGGCTAGCTGCTTGCTTGCTGTGGCCGTTGGCTGGTTGGGTGGGTTGGCCGGTCGCTCGGTTGGCTCTTGATTTGCTAAGTTTGGTCGCTACTTCAACAGCAGCCGATCGCTTTACATCGCCAGGTCGTTCACCATCATTTGCGCACGCCTTGAGGCCTTGAGGAACAAGCTTCGGCTTCCAGAAAGGGAACAAAAAAAAAACACTTTCGGAGGTGCACAAATGCAATTTACCCGAACCAGGCCGCTCTGTCCCCCAAATTCTGGTCGCAGGGGCTGAGTTCCCGGCGCATCCACCAAGCGCTCCCGCCAAATCATCCTGTCGCAGTGCCGCAGGAGTAGGCTAGGTCCAAGTTCAATCGCGAAAAGGGGAAGTCAGCCGAGTGTGAGGGCGTGCGCTAAGGCCAACCCAAGGACAACACTCCAATCTGCTGTCTTGTGGCCCATGTCACGCAAGTTTCCAAGCCCAGATTTGTCTAAAAAAAGATGACGGTCAATGTGTTGCGTGGCTGCACGTTGATCCCATCAAGTCAGCCAAGACCAGCAGCTTGCGTATATGCCCGAACGGTCACCAAACCAGACCTTGCGACATACACAAACAGCATGAGTTGCAGAACCCGAACCTGCCCAACGCACTGACGGGTAAAACAGTCGGGGGAGGTCTTTGCCCCCTCTGAACAAGGCTGAATGTGCCGCTACAGAACTAGAGGGGAACTGTTGTTCCAAAAACCTTACAAGAAGTGTAAGGCTACATCAAAGGGCAACCAACAACATGTCTCTACGCTTCGGCCACTTTTCAGTCTGGGCATATCTTCGCAGGTCCACGTGCGCTTCAAGCATGTCCGACGGGCAGCAAGCACACCATACCTTGGCAACGCACAGCTGTTTCCCGTAGGGTCTTGCAAAAAGCTGCAAGTAGGCAATCAACCAAGCAAAGCATGCAACCCAAAAGGTCCTACAAGTGAGACAGAAACGCAAGGAGGCAACATGAAAGTAGCCGCATCAGATGCACCCAGAATTGCCATTGAAGGTCTTGCACGCTCTCTCCACAAGCATTATGAAGCTCCTTCAGAAAATCTCCCGTGGAAATGGACTCATTTTTCTGCAGAAATTCCTGGGCATGGTCTTTGTGGAAGCGTCTTTTTGCGGGGTGTGGGGATGGGATCTCTTCGCAGGATCTCTTGGCCAGATCTCTACATACAAGCTCTCTCTTCAGGATCAGTAGGGAGCATCCTCAAGATGTCTCCGCATGCAACCTTGGGAGGTCCTGCACAAAATCAGTCTGCGCAGGACTAGCGCAAGGGACTCTTTGGAGGACCTTTGCAGGAGTTTTCTTGGTGGGGTCTCTTGGCAATTCGTGCGCAGGATCAGAAAACCCTCTTCCGGTTAAGAGCTAGAGAGGGTCCCTATGATTGATCAGCGCAGGATACCTTGCGAATTTTACAAGATCTCCTGCGCAGGCCCTGCACCAAAAACACCAATTTGTCCACGCGCTTCGTGCGAGCCTGCGATTTCGAAATGCACATGGACGGAACTTTTGCGCCGAAAAGCGCCGCCCAGAAAGATGCTCTACCCTCTTTACCCTCACCGTAAGGAACAAAGTGGAGCAAACCCGGCTTGCTTCGCGAGCGGGCAGGCAAGCAAGTTAGCAGGCAATCAATCATTTCGAGTAGGCGACACGCAACAAGGCAGCGGGGCCGGCATGAAAAAACAAGAAGCTGGCGCCACTGCCCGGACAGCCTGAAGGTAGAGCAATCTGATGCTTTTCAATGTTTGGTGTCCAAAGCTGACTACCTCAGAACATGCACGACTAAAGCATGTTTCTCGAAGCCATGTCTCTCGCAACAGAAACTTCGACTCGTGTTTTGCACAAGCACGGAAAGGGGCAGGGTCAGTCAGGTGAGGTGACTGCGGGTGGGGCACCCTTCTAGGGCGGCATATTGAAATAATACCACGCCCATACCAAGCATTGCGTGTGGGCAGGGTCGAAAAATGCTCTGTTGAAAGACATAGGAAGACACCAAGGCTGCAGCGGAAAGCGATGCAAATACTGTTAGACCCAAACAGACCACTAACGATCACATGCACCTTTGATTTCAAGTTTGAAGGAATAATTCAGGATACCTTACAAAATCCTTAAATGCAACTTCATGTGGAAATGTGGGAACAACCTGGGTTCAGACTAGGGAAGTTACACCGAAATCACACAGGAATTAATGCCCAACAAATCGGACAAACAAACAAAAACACGTGGACACCTGATTAACCCCCAGAAACTCCCTTTTTGAAGATGTCGACTAAGTTGCCGTGAGTCGATAAATCTGGCTCTTCTCGTTGCACAGCAGCATAACCTGATGCCGCCATGCGAGTCTCAATTGGAAAGCCGTTCTGAGCTCTCAGCCACGCCAAGTTGAAAACGGGCCTGGGCAAATTTCTGGCATCGGCTGGCCGTGGCTTGCGTCCAGGAACTTCCCGCACATCACATTTCATGCAATTCCGGCGTCTGTTAGCTTCACTCCTTGAGTGTCAGCTTTCCAAATCCGGCCGTTTTTTTGGGACTGCGGCTTTTCTTTGTGCTTCTGGCTGAGGTTAGATGCGCTTGGGCTTCCTTGAAAGGTGCGACTCTGAAACCCCGCATCCCTTCCCCGAGCTAGGCATCAGGCGTTGCAGCTGTTCGCCAAGCCAACGACCACCTGAGGGGAACAATGCTCGCCAGTTGGGGGAGTGTCGTTGTTCTTCTTGCTTCTCGGATGTGTTGCTGATGTGTTTGGCTGCTGGTTGACCGCAGCGTGGAGTTCGCAGCTGGAGGTGGTAAATTGTAGGCAGGCCCTGTAGTTTGCGGTACTTCGCATCACTTTACCCTTCGACTCCAAGACTCAGTGCACCATCTGCCAACACCGCCCATCCGACACAACTGTTTCGGCCATCTAGCCTGCATGGGGTCTGCCTCGGCCTCTTCGGAAGGCACGTGCAAGTCCTGCTTGCTCCTTGGCCCCGCAGCAACCCATCCCTCCAACTGACGCCAACCCGAAAGGACATTCTCAAGCCATGGGAGCCTCACCAATGCATACCCTGTGCCTCTGCGCCAACCCCCGCGCCATCCCACATTGAGGACTTTCTTCATTAGACAAACGCACTTTTGGGCTGGCACGCTGGAGAAGTGTCCATGCAACGCGCCCCCACCACCACCCCACCCCCAACCATCTTGAGGCCAAGCGCTGTGCCAGGCCTGCCAGCAAAGGCAGGAAAGCCAGCACGCCCTTATGGCCGTGGTACTCCAGATCCAAGGCTGGGGAAACGCTGCAGAACCTGAGCGCGCCCTTCCGAAATGTGACTCCTCAGAGCTGGCACTTCAAACAGCACAGGTGATGCGCGCAATGTCGAAGAAACCCGCAATATCGCGTAACGCGGGAGGAGCCCTGCATTCAAGCCGGCAACAGTAAGTACCAGTGAAAAAAAACATACGGCCCAATGTGAGATGTTTTCTTGGAGACATGCCTAGGGATCGAATCAGCCTGCGCCAAGCGGCTGGATACGCACCTCCTCGGCGAAGAACTTGGTGACGCACCCCTGCCGCTCTTCCGCGGAAATCGGCTCTTCGAGCTGTCGGTGCTCCTTTGCGAAACACCAGCCAGAGCGCTCGAGACTTGGCCGTCGGAGTTGGCCCGTGCAAGATGAGATGTAAGGCCCTTTTCCGAAGGATGTTTGTCGCCTAGCGCGGCAGAATGCTGTCTGGTGCGGGTGATCCACATCCCTCCGCCCTTCTGTGCACAGCCAAGTGACCCTCATCAGCCACCAGTTCAGCTCCTCCCACAGCAGCCGTAAAGCTCTACGAGAGCCTCGTGCGCGCACCCGGCGGAAGGACTCCTGCAGAAGAGAAGTACAGTAATGATACAGTAATGTACAGCCCTGAGTCTGATTGGGGCGCCTGTTCACTCCTTGAATGCAGGTGGGGAACAAAACGCGTATCGAATGATCTTGGCCGAGTTGGCAACAAACTCTTACCAAGGCAAGCGCCAACAAACCCATAAGGCCCTAAAGCATCACATCTTGGCATCAGCCCATTGAGTCCTTGTGGTACTCCGCAATCTTCGATCTGACTCCAAATTGTCCAGTCCTCAGTGGATTGATGGTTTCTCTCGGGGGTCTTTGCCGCATTTGGGTTCCGCAAACGGACAACCGGCAGGACCTGATCTGCCGCGCCACAGCTCGGCCAGGCGCGACTCCGTGGCAGCTGCGCGCTGCGCCGTCGCCGCGTCGCTGTCGTCCCAGCTGGGGTCGAAGATCGCGCCCGCCGTGCGGGTGGCGCCTGACACGCCCCGTGTCTTTGCAGCTTTCCAGTGGCAAGTTCAGTACGTGACTGCTTTACCCAGCAGAAGATGGCGGCAACGATCATAGCCGGAAGCTACAACTCAGATCCAGAACCTTGGCGCTGCTGACCTCTGTGGCTCTAGCCCAGCCCCTTATCAAGTTTGGGTGGGAAGGGTGTCTCCCATGTGAGCATGATTGGCAAATAGGAGGCACCCCATTTGAGAAGAGATTCTTAACTTGGTTTCATGCCCAACGCAAATCTGCTGAAGACACTTACAGATAGACGTGGCCTTGGCCGGTCACCTCGACCTATGCTACCTTGCTTATAGTCTTGCATGCTCTCTGGAGGCCTCTTTGGCTGCAGTTCGAACCCCAAAAAGCTAGCAAAGCAAACCAGGCCTCTTGCAACCATCACCGCGTCACAGCCTGTCTCGCGCAGCATGCGCACAGCATCCGCACGAGCCCAGACATCGCCATTCCCGATGACTGCCAGCCGGTTGCCTGAAGCGTTGCCCGACATGACTGGGCCTCGTTGCTGCACTCCAGAACTGCTCACAAACATTCGGCCACCAAACTAACTTCGCAGTGGTGGCACGCAACGTGAGGCAGTCTCTGATTGAAAGGTATGAGGCTGTCAGTGGGACATGAGAACCATCCAAGCCAAAGCTGCTGACACAGGGATTGAACCAACCGGTTAACCACCGTGCTCTTTCAAACAAGAGGAGACCAGTCAAGGAATGGCTGGCCTGCCACTTCTTTGGCCTTGCGGATGTGCTCCCAACGTGCGGCGCTCTTCTTTGACTCCTGGCATGCAGGCATCAGGCAACCTAAACCCAAATCTAAAGCTTGACCCCCCCTCTTCCATCTTCCTGCCAGGAAGCCTTCCAAGAATTGTGTTCCTTTCTGGCCAGCAATGTTCCAACGCTGGACATGTCCGTGCTGACAGCATGAAAGACATTGCCATGCCGACCAGTTTGCAGTCCTCGCGGGCATGCCGTGGGTGGAGCACGATGTAGTCAAGGCGGCCTTTGGCATATCCTTGCAAGAAAGCCCGCAACCTCTTCTTTCGAGCTAGCTTGCCACTGCGTATCATGGCACACCACGTGTTGCAAAAGCTTTTTGTGGAGTGCTGGCCCTCAAGCTGCTAGCGAGTTAAAAGCCATGTGCCCCTAATGCCCCTCCCTTCGAGCGTGAACTCTAGCAGAATCACCTATTTGTGTGGTGTCATGTTGTGCGTACAGTACCATGTGAGGGGTGTTTGGATTAGAAGCCAAAACCTGGTTTGGCGTTTCAGACCTCCCACATGTGCTTTGGCTCAATTGCCAACCAGGTCTCGCACGGCGCGCAAGTACACCTCCCTGCGCTCTTCGTCCTCATTCAGGCCCAGTCGCATCCTCGAATGGCCACAGCTTCTACCCCTCGCCAGGACGCCCCCGTCAACTTCCCTGATTCTGGGAAAGAGGGTCATTCCTAAAGCAACGTTTTGTTTTTTTCCCGCTGCCAAGACATCAGACTGGAGACATGAACTTTGACTTCTTGAAACACAGCCTCGCCAGGAATCCAGGATAAGATTGCACTTCAAACCATAAACTTTAGCCCGCGTCACTAGGTAAAGAACGTGTCTCTTCTGCTTTACTGGGTGTCTTTCCTCCGGCAAACCCTGGTCCCTCCCCGACTGGATGCTATGCCTGGGGCCCCAAACTTGGCGCCGATGGCGCCCACCGGCAGCGAGGTGGTGCCGCGCCACTGGGCCAAGATCTCGAAGAGCTCCCGCAGCAGCTGGGGCCGGTTCAGCATGGCCGGGCCCAGGCCTCGGCGAAAACCAGCCGGATGGGCGAGCGGCGCGAGCGCTTCGCCCAAAGCAGAGAGGAGTCGACTTGCCGGGCGGCCGTCGTTGATGATGTGGGGCGAGGGGCACCCGAAGTTCAGGTCGATGCCATGGATTCCACGCGCCCAGTGAGGTTTGTCGCTCTGCGCCCGCTCCTCCAATGCAAATGCGAGTGGTCTGCCCTCCGCAAGCACCGTTGATAGCAGATCTTCCTAAACAGGCCCGCTAAGAAAGTTGCCTTGCAGCCGTCACTTTCCCAGCTTCACAGTTTGTTCGCAAGCTCTTCAGTCAACAAATCTAGGGGTACCTTCCCCATTCGTTCCAGGCATCCTTCTTTCTAAAAAACAACCCCAAACCCTGAAAAACAGCTGGTTTTGAAAAGAACGATGGTTGAAAAGAATGGGGAACCTGCCCCTAGAACAAAGGTCGAAACCAAGGGTTGACTGCCCCCTCAAACCCAGAAAGCGGTCCTCCAGGAGCTCCAGGGATTTTTGCAGCTCCTCCGGGCTGCTGACCAGCAGCTGGACCCCTTCCGGGCGTCAACTTGGGAACCCCTGAGCATGACTTGAGTACGACGCAGTTCCTTCAACCGTGCTGCGATGCAGTGCTGCGATGTTGGGTGCGTCTGATGGCCTTAGACAAAGATGCTTGGACCACTTTACACGGGGCTTGGCTTCTGTGACCCGGCAGCCAACTGCGTTGACCAGATGAAAGCCTGGGCTCGAAGTTATTTCTTGACACAAGCCAAATTGGATCCCATTCTCAGCTTGCCGGCTCACTTGATTGACGTGGCGCAGAGCCCCACTCCGAATGCAAAGCTGCAATATGCCAATTTCAATCGGAGAACCCAGGCACTTCCAAAACGTTCCAAATAAATCCACACGCCGCGTCGCAGGGGATTACAGCTGCAACGCTTAACTCCACCAAAGACAAGCGCCCGCAAATGGCGTCGAGCCAAGTGCCACCATGCCAAGTGCGCCATGTCCATCGCTTTTGCAAGGGTACCCTGAGTTGAAGCCTCACGCTGGTCTAGCAGCTAGCATCTTCGCATACAATCTTTGTATGCGAACCTTTCGAGTAGCCTTTCCGTCCCGCAGCCAAAAGCTTCAACCATCAATTAAGGCTGTCAAATAGGAGGTCCAGAGAACCATCTTTTTTAAAGAAATACTTTCCTGCTGCCCGCAACAGGTTGCGACTTGAACAATGCAAGGTTTTTCACCTTGGTGAGGAAACCCAGTTGTCAATGCTCATATCATATTGGTGACAGACAGATATGTCTAAACCCCTTTTCGGGAAAATGACACATTTTGTGGGATGATAGGCTACTCTGCACCCGGGTGCCTGTGGGTGTCGAGGCGTCCAGGGTGTCAATGCGGCTGGTGGTGGAGTTGTTCTGCCGGAGGAGTGCGGCAGCCCTCACCATTTCCGTCCTGAGACGCGGCGCGGCGGCGCCACCCCGCCGCTCTATGAACTCCTGTGTGCTGCAAGTTGAGCACTCAAATCCATGCGCAAATAGCTGGTGGCCAAAACGCCACCAGCGAGGACGCAAGTTTCCAACGTGCGCCTGAAAGCTCAGGATTGCTTTGCTTGCGTCATCGCTAGAAGCTGATTTTCCACTCAGCTTTGCCGTAGCGGTATGGCCAAGAGCCAGGAGAGTGGCCCTGTCGCAGACGTGGCCCTATTCCAAGAGCTAGCGGACAGTGTTTGCAAGGCGGGCAGGTTGTACCCCACACAAGCCGGACTTAGCTTCCGACATATACGCATTTGAATTGTTGCTCCTGTTCTTGGCGAGTATGGATATGCATGCGCTATAGCTGCTCAGATTTGCGAGAAACAAATATCAATATCATCACCATGCGCTTGCCTCATATTCTGAATGCATGCCCCATCTTTGTTGTTTTGCTTGGTCGGAATTGTGCTAAACTTTGCTGTTTTCTGAAACTTCCGTCCGGTTGGCGGATTGACCGACACTTAGTGGTTGGCAACACTTAGAACACTTGTGACCACACAAGTTGGGAGCCAGTCTTTGTTTGCCCCTGACAACTCAATGCATACAAAACCCCAAAAAGAAGCGCGACAAAATGCAGGAAGCAACACAGACAGCACCAAAGAAGCTCACAATCGCATCACATCTCTGAGAAAGTGGTATGGCAATCACGGAAGCTTGCGATCGTCCAGTGGGCTTGTATGACATCCCATAGCGCTCTCCCATGCGGCCAGCCGGCCATGTGAAGCTTGCGCCCAACTCGAAGCAAAGCCGACGGAATGCACAGTCCTGCTTCCAGAGTTCGCTCAGCCAGGTGAGTCAAGCAGCATGCACGGTTTGCAGCAATATGGCATAGGCCTAGTTTCAGCAGTAATTTTCTAGCAGGGAGTTCTCTGACAATCGCTCCTCAAAATGGCTGATTCGTCCTGAATTCCTCGGACCAGAACCGGTACTGTGGTCTTGCGGTCAATTGCAAGGACTGCGCAAAGTGCAAAACTATCACCCCTGGTTTCTTTCAAAATCGAACCAGCGCAACCCCATCAATTCCCTTCTGCACCCTACTGCACTGGAAAAAAAACAGGGGGGGGCCTTTTTGATGGCATGTAGCGTTGGCTGCACACGACATGAACCGTCCGTGACTTGCTCCATGGGCGCCAGCACCATACGACCTTTCAGCTTCCAGCGCCCCAGCTGCCACCGCTCTCCCAGCACGGAGTCCGGCAAGGCATCCGCCTGGAGCCGAAGATGGCCCAGCCTTTGGGGGGAAACGGCCCCTTCTGAGAGGCCTATGGGGCCGCTTGATGTTGAGACAAATGCCATGCCACCCAAAACTGCTAAAGGGGTAAGAAAGGATTTGCTGTCGGCTGGGTGCCTATTGGTTTCAACATGCTTCAGCCGTTTGAGGCCCCGTTTAGACATCATCTAACTTTCAATTTGATGATTGATCGGATCAAGAAGAGGCATGTCCCGCCACAAATGCCCTGACACCGGTCTCCACTCGCTCGCCTTGCTGCCCTTGGCGCGGAGGGCCCGCTGTGAAAGCCGCGGCCTTCTTTTGAAGCGCGGAGGGCGTGGGGCGCTGTCACTTCAATGCAGAACCTCCAACATGGTTGGTGGACATAAAACACCCTGTTTAGTTGCTCTGGGCAAACTCTGGCTTCACAAGGGCGACAAACTGCAGAAGCATGCCCAATATGCAGCAAGAGCTATCGCCTGTCACTCAGGCCACACGGCCTCAGTGCTTTCAGCATGGCCAAGCGCCATGCCAGCGCAACACGTGAAAGCTTCTGAGCAAGCTCAAGAAGATATTTTCCCAACAAGAATTGATGTGACAAGCAAGTCTCCAGTTGGAGACATATCAGTTGTCACACTGACAAGACCAGATGCTACACTTGATCATAACCAAAAGGCTGAGAAGGTATGACTTCTCTATGTGGAGCTCCACAAAAAATAATAGCTGTCTTTGGATCGCATCTGCACCAGTGCATTTCGGCACCCCACGCCTGGAGAGCCAACCGACGACTAGCACAGCTGCCCAGCGCTCCGGACACGTCCTACTGGGCTTGCGTATGCCATGGCCAGCGACCGGCGGCGGCTGCACCACTCGGGCGCAAGGCCCAGCGAGAAGCATGGAAGCGCACACAGATTCTCCTTTAAGAATGGCTCTGCACGAATCTCTGAATTGCGATTGCCTATCCCTCCTGTCTTGAAAACACATCTTGTTGCTTACATTAGCGGCATAAAACCTGGCAATTGGTCGCCTTTAGCTCTGGCAGTGCCTTTCGTTGCGGGTGTGTCTCGCTTCCCTGCCTCAGCCTGATTCGCCTTTTTATTGATCCCGCAGGGACTAAGCCGGTGCCTAGCATGAACCTCACCATGGGTCTGCCCGACCTTGGTCCAGAGACAGCTCCGACCCAACCCCCCGCCCCCCCCCCCCCCCGAAGCCGCCCATGGCGCACCGGCTGCACCTCGGGCTCTTTGGCGCCCAGTTGGCGCAAGAGCTGGGCCACCTGAAGATCGGCTGGCCCTGATCAACATGCTGCCCAACAATGTGAGGGTGTCACCAATGGATCTCAAGCTGCAAGAGCATACATATGCATGAATAATGACCCCCCCCCAAAAAAAAATAACATGTAATAATAGGGGGTCTGGTGGCTTCAGGGATTACACAAGTCAATCATTTTGTTCAAAACATCCATAAGTTTTTCAAAATATCTGAACATGTTGTTACATGTTGCTCATTGAATAACAGTCTAAGATATTGACATTTCCAAGCTTCAGGTTTCAGACCATTTTCGGCCTTCTAGGGGACACACGGTTTCTGTTCTAGATGTTGGTACAACGCGGATTGTTTTCACACCGCGACTTCGCTACTCGGAGGTAGCTCATCCTGAACTATATGTTCGGCGCTGTCGCCCATAAGGGCGGCTATCGAGTTGGGAGGGTTGTTTGTTTGTTGTCTAGTACCTTGTAAGTATGCTTTGACCATGTCATCTTCATCATCAACTTCTAGAAAACGGCACGCACGACATGATTGAAAGACTGATAGAGGAGTTGGTGGCATGTGCTCATTGCATTAGGTGCGATTTGACATGTCTATCATTTCAAGCGATTGTGAATGTAGTGGAATCCCTTTCTCTTTTGTGTGCCTTAATCCTGATGTCCATGGACGACAAGGGTTACACCAACAAGGACAAAGAAGAGCAGTCGCTCAGGACGAGGCGATCGCAATGGCATTGGAAGAGGAATAGCAAGTCGCACAGGATGAGATGCTCGACAAAGACTTTGAAGAAGGAGATGAATAAGAAAGACACACGCTGGGAGACAACGGGCGACAACTCAAGGGAGACAAAGGGAGACAAATGAACCTGTCAGACATCCAGGCTGGGAGACAACGGGCGACAAATGAATCCGTCCACCCAGTAGCCGTGCCAGCCATCCAGGCTAGGGCTTGGCAATAGGCGAGTCACTTTAAATGAATTTAGAACCCCCCTCACAGTAAACTGTTTGGGAAATAAAAAGATCAAAGAAAGCAGAAGTTATGATGCCAGATCAGGCAACACAAACTCTTAACAAAGAAAACAAGGCACGCAAACAGACTTGCCATATGATAAAGCGACACCAACGTACAATTTGGTTCTTCAAAGAATTTTCACAGCAAACTGATGAATAAATCAGAAGCAATAGCATTTACCTGTGACCCTGGTTTGTATGACGATAGCGATGGTGATGATGACACAAATGATGATGATAATGAGAAAACGCAGGAAGAAAATATTTATGTTGATGATGGTTCAAGGTTTTATGATGAGGTGCGGTTTTAGACAAGGACAAATAGTAGCACATCTCGCACGCCACACTAGAATTGACGAAAATTTAGTTATCTTAACAATGAACTCAGTAGTAACATCTCATGGCATAGCAAATGCTACAACGAATTGGTTGAGTAAAAATAAATGAAGAAGTTGAGTTACATACTTCACCCCCTATCAGCGTCCATAGTTCTCCGCCTATCACTGTTAATAATTCTTCAATGCATACTGTTAATTCATCACCATGAGAAGAAGATGCTAATTATGAAACAGCACCGCCGAGTGACATCCCTGTCCCTACTGATGATGAAAATGCAATGATCAAACTGCAAACCAAAAGACCAAGTTTACAAAAACTAAAGTCACTCAAAGAAATGGCCCCTCAATATAATAAGAGAATAAATGCATAAGTGTATCAAAGAAGAACTGACATATTACCTGGCCGTATCATTGATAATTTATTGAGTTTTCCAAAATGTAAAAGATGTACCATTACAAAGCATTTAGTTAAAAGCGAACGTGAACAATTGGCCGAAATGGAGAAGGGGATTTGGTATATGACGAGGTTAATTTGACGCCTGACAAGACTCACTAGGAACAATACTTACAACAGGCTTACACACAGCATTGAAAGCTGAATGTGGGCGTGATATTATGCTAGTTTTCTATTCTGGTGATGCTTTTAAGTTTCATACTGGTTTACTTTACCATAACAATGATGCCTGTGTTTCGTGTCAACCATTCAGTGATTCAATGTGCAGAGACTTTCTGAAAGCGTTGAAGTGGCAGTGTATAGAAGACAAGGGTGTTTGCAAAATAATTTTTGATCATGTGGTTTATCATAAACTCGTTTGTCATTTGTTAGAAAAGGAAAGGTTGATAACAGACCGGTCAAATTTCAGAGGTGCTGACAATGATTCCTGATTATGATTCTTCTATCCCCCAGAAAGCCTCAAAATGGTCTGTAACCTGAACGTTGAACATGTCAATATCGAAATAAAATAAAAAAGTAAACACATGTGGATAAATTTTAGAAACTCCCCAGAAACCCCATTGATGCTTTGAACACAATGATTGACTTGCTTAATTTCATCCCTGAACCCTGAAGCCCAGACCTGAAATCCCCCACCCCATACCCCCTATTATTACATTTTTGCCGGGAAGCAGACTAGTGAGAGCCGGGATCATCTTTGGGCATCAAGTCTGCTAAAGCCCAGCGGGCTTCAGGAATGGTTTTTTCAGGGGGCAAGGCTCGTGGCTCATTGTCCGCGGTCAAAGCCGCAACCATCTGGGCACGACCTTCGTAGGTCGGCAGTGGGCGCAAGTCTTCCCTGGTTGCGGCTTTGACCGCGGACAAGCGAGCCACGAGCCTTGCCCCCTGAAAAAACCATTCCTGAAGCCCGCTGGGCTTTAGCAGACTTGATGCCCAAAGATGATCCCGGCTCTCACTAGTCTGCTTCCCCCAAGTTCCCCTCCAAACAATTGACGCCAACCGGGTGGGGCAAAAAGAATGAATCGGAACGTCGACACTGATTGCACATCATATCTGACATTTGCCGGGAAAGCGCTGCCTTTTTTGTTGCTGACTTGTTCTAGCTCCTTGGTCCAAAAAACAAGACGATTTTGCTCGGCCCGAAAGAAGCCCCTTACCTCCAAAATCAATACTGTCCATGAACAGAATTGACCAACATCGAGCCTCCTAAAGAAAGGCACATAGGCTTCGCACAAGATTCAACATGTCCTCACACATTAAAAGCTAGCCATCCACAATAGATATCCTAAGCATTCGCAATGGAATTCTTCCTAGCGTGCTTTCTTCAAACCGGCATGATGGTGGGGACAACCAGTCCCCGACGGGATTCTAGCAATGAGCAACTTTGTCAGTTGCCCGCATCATACCAGTTTCCGTGGCCTGCCAAAGACATCTTGTGCAAAAGTTCCAGTGTGATGCGATCAAAGATTCCAGAGATGTATGCTTTGACGTGTCACCTAGTCTTGGGTGTAGCTCCCAAATGCGCGAGTGGGCATGGTCCTGTGCATTTTTTCCGAAGCAAACGGAAACCACCAAGACAAGACTTCCGAGCCAATCATGCGAGTAGCAGAGCGTTCTTCTTTGGACAGCCACCATCCGCGCATTTTTGCCCTGACTCCCTGGCCCAGAACCCAGGCCTTGCCATTCCTGCCGTATCTCCGCAGGGATATGGCCAATGGCGTCCGGCCCTGCAACACGGCACGGCGCAAGAAACAAAAAGTGCACGCTGCGCCAAGGGGACACCTCGCTCGCAAGACGACGTCCTCGCGCCCTGGCCTCCTCGTTGCGCGCCTCTAGGTCCGCGCCAGCTTCAGCTAGAAGGCGCACAGCGTGCTGAGCACCTCGCGGAAGGAGTCTTCGCCAACAAATCACTTCAAACCGCAACCAACGGGCGCGAACAGACAAAACCGTTGAAACTTCAGAAGGCCACCTCCATGCATTCTCAAAAACTGGAGAGCTGCACTGGGCTCTTTTGCCTCCATTTTGAGTGTCGCTGGCTTCGCTTAATCACACACACACACACACACACACCGGAAGCCGAAAGAAACAGCAGACCAAATCAACACTGTTTTCGGAAAGCTTCGAATCTTCCAGAAAAGTTCTGGCTGCCATGCTGTTTTCTTCGGGCGGGTGCGAAACCAATCTGTGCCGCCGCCCGGCTCGGAGGCCCACCTTGCTGAGCATTCCGCATGGGTCTTAGACAAGATCGAAGAGACAGTTTCCAGCTTGGGGGCTTGGGGCAAAAACGCAACCTCTGGGGATTCTGACGTGGCACGCAAACCGAGGGCCTCAGTTTCCATTCGCAACCAGGTAAAACTCCTCTCACGCCTTTCTGGACCGTCGACAGAAATGCTCAGGAGGTGAGCTATCATGGGCCACTCCTGCATCGGACCAGTCCTGTCCCGACAGGGCCAAAGGACTAAATAATTCAACCTCAAGCAAACCCAGTCTACTTGGCCGTGAAGACAAAATCCTTGTGACCAGCCCCGCTGGCTGGCAGCCTCACTTTCGTCCCGCTTTCCTACCTGAACAGTGCAGGGGCACGTATGCATGCAAGGCAGGCACACTAATGCCTCAAGAGTTGCAAAAAAAACTCCCACTCGCCCCTTCACAGCAAAGTCGTATTACTCTCGTTCCCGCGCACTTTAGGATGCTCAAAGCCGGAGAAAAACAACTGCCTCACTACCCGCACAAATTGCAGCGCTTGCAACATTCCACCCTTGCCCCAGGGTGGACAGAATTCCTCTTAAACATTACACCAGGGAAATTGCGGGGGTGGAACAGGCCGAGCTTCTGTTCTCGTCCGAATCGTGCAGGGTCTTCCAGCTCCTGCGCCAATCCTTGAGTGTCGAGGCCCACGCCGAGGTTTCAATACGTTTCAGTCTCAACTGCATCTAACCCCCCGAAACCAGGCAGAAGGGCCTGAAGCTTTTCAATGTGTTGAAATCATCACCCGCGTTTCCAAAGCAAGAATCATTTCCTTGGGTGACGGGGACGGTCGGGATGATTGGCCTGGTAGGGCTGGGATGGTTTGGCGGGGTGATGGTCGGGACGGTTGTTGGGGTGATTGGGATGGCTCAAAAAATAGCTGACATCAGGCTGGTTTATTTGTTTGGCTGGCCTCTTTCGCCGCGTCACCCGAGCCTTCTTGTGTCAGTGTACTTGCGCTGACCACCCTTGTGGTCTTGCACGTCCCTATGCGACGCAATAAGAACTTAGTCAGCGCGCAGCACTGCAAAGTCCTTAACTCGTCGGATGTTCGCTCTAGGTCAATGTGCTTGATCTAGAAAGGCATTAGTACATTCCTTGTCGCGGCCCGGCCTGTTGTGCAGGAAGAGGGCGCTTGAATATCCTTGGGAAATCCGGCGTCTCCTCATTTCAGCTTCCTTTTCAAGTCAGTGTACTGATTTGAATGTCACTAAGCTTGGCTCAAGACCAGAAAGTGTGCGTGTGCTTACTGCTGCCATTTCACTTGTTTCGCAATATGTACTGATCTGACGACATCTTTCTGTATCGGGTTAATATTGGACTTTCAAGGCAGCGCCAAACCTTGGTCATGGGGAGCCCGCGGCTTGTCTTTCCTCTGAATTTGTAGCTAGGGTCTTTCTGTTTGTGGCCGTGGCATTTTGACGAAACCCTGGCAGCACCTGCACCGTCAATGGGGAGCGGACTGCTTTGACTACTCGTGACGCATCTCGTAATGTTCCAGCCTGCCCACTACCACATACTTTTCCTAGCAAGCGTCAGCGAACAAGCTGGCAAGCTACAAAGATAAAGCCATTAGGCTATTACATCAAGCGAGTAAGCGATATAACTATCAAAGAAAGCACTTCGTGCAACGGCCTAATAGCTTAACAGGGTAACAGCGTAATAGTTTCATCTAAGCGTGTAACAGCGTAATAGCTTCACCTAGCCGCGCAACAGCTTACCATGGTCGTTTCAGCAATGTGTACCGTCTCGTATCGAGCGCCAAGCCATCTCGTCCTCTTTCCACGCGCGTGGGCCAGACAACTGCCACCCTACTTTCTCATCAAGCGATACCAAAAAGCAAGGGTGCACTGCAGCTGGCCCTCTTCACGGAGTCATCCAAAATACGGCCTCCTCAGCCAAGAAGCAATCACATTCAAGGGGTTCATGATATAAGGGATGCAAGCGCCCAGGACATTCACGCCAAAGCCCAGCTCTGAGATACTGCCTGCGGTGTGACGCTTGCGTGGGCCAAACAAGAGCGAACGTCCTGCCTTCAATCAGCGCAAAGGCGGTCATAATCGACCACAGGTCCGGGGAAACCCGGACCTTGTGCTTGCCTAAGCTCGCGTATGTCAGGCAGTCCCTGGTGTTGTCAGGCCCAAGGATTCGACCAAACCATGGATTTCCACCCGAAAGATTAAGTCTGCGCAATTCACAAACCTACAAAGGGAATCTTCAAGAAACAAACCTCCACCGTGGGCGGGTCGAGGTTGCTATAGCGTTTGCACATCCATGTGGCAAAACTGTGTGAATGGCGACCACGCTGCGTGTTTCAGAAACACTCTAAGCAAGACATGTTCGGCTGGGCACCGGGCAAATACTTCATCAAGTGCTGCCATGACGCTCAAGTCCCCCATTAACATTGTAAAGTACTCGCTCACTTTGGTGCCATTGTAGTCCTGCGGGGCATCAGAATGGCCCTTCGAGTAAGTCCGGAAAGCTAGTATGTGTGGTTCTGCGTCCAGTGGCCATGGCTTCATCTGCTTGATTGATTCTAAGAAGCCCAACACAAAATGCAAAGGGGCCCGCTGTAACGAGTTCAACTCCACGTGCGTGCATGTTGGTCATTCTAGGGCGTTCTTCATAAACTGTCTGGGCCGTGCAATGTCGCTTGCCTTCATGCCTGCTACTCACGAGAATGGTTGATGACGCCAACAGGCAAATGGGGGGATTCACTGTTTCCACGACAGCGCCCACAGTTGTCGACTTTGGCACCTCAAATTGCTGAACACAGTCCAGCGGAGAGAGCCCGGGTTGCGCCCTGTCCAAGATCCGAACACAACACCTGACAAGGCACCACCCAGCCCATCTCCTCAAAGGACTTGAAGCGCTCTGCCCAGATGCTCTCATCCACCATGAAGCAACCAGCCCTCAGATCGTGTTCAAGATCCCCCGCTGAACTTCCCCAAGTCCATTTTTCAAGTCTTACCCAGAAAAGGGGGAAGTGGAACTAGACATGGACTTCCAGGGTGACCCCCTCCCAATTTGAAGGGTGCTCAAAAAGCAGGTGGCAGTGGCATGACGAGGCCTCATTGCAGCCCGAGCAGCAGCAGCAGGTAGCCCACATCGTGTGCCAGATCCTCAAGGCCCTCGCCATAGCCGGCAAGTCCTTCCTTCCTGAGGCAGCACTGCGCGGCTCGTCAGGCACATTCTTGCCTTTGCGGGGGAGTGGGTCGAGGTGCCATGACGGCACAGGACTGGAGCACAAAAGGACATCATGGTAAGGACCGAGCTGCTGATGCAAGGTCACCACGGACCAGCCGAGCTTTTGGGGATCTCTGCGGAAGGCAGCCGTCATTGCATCCTGCAGCCAGGGCATGCAGTCATTCAGCTTGGTGGGGGAAAGTGAAATATGCTCTTCAGGGAGCTAGGCTTGCACAAGGCACTGCATTTAGCATCTGTGAAGCTGGATATGCTGGATCTTTAGGGTGCATCGCTCTTTTTCTCTTTATGCGCAGGTGCAGCTCCTTAAGCCGATGAAACGGAGTAGGCGGCCACAACACGCTGGTCCTTCGTGAAACTTGAAATGTTCGGGGACATGCCAATGGAGATGCCGGTGTCAATCAGGGTCACCTGACATTGCCAACATCAGGCGTGGCCACGGGTTACAACCAAACACCCTTCCTCTGTTGGTCAGTGCCGGAAGGAAGCCCTACCCACTTGAGAGGGAGGCACGAGAAATCTGGAACACAGATTGGTTGGGTCAAAGCGTCCGACAAATAGGAAACCAACACTGACGTTTAAATGTGCAAAGCAAGCCAGACTTTGTGGCTTGTAGATTTTTTGAAGCCACCCGCAGCAGAATTAGGGGACGGCCGAAAATGGCAAACAAAACCCGAAAACTCGACCAGGCCGGGAAACCGAAACAGTAAGCCCGAGAGATCGCAAGAGTTCCCTATGGAGCCAACATGTTGGCAGGACCTATGAAAGTTACAAGTGGGACTGAAGCATATTACTGAGGGAAGTGGTTGGGGTTGGCGGCACGTGAACAACGTCGCTCATTTACATCGTTAACGCATGTTCCCATTTTTCACTGTCAAACCAAAGTCTTCAGTGTCTACCTGATCCGCCAAGCTTAAAAACAAAGAACATGGCATGGAATTCAAGCGTACCAGGAGCTACAACGTAGCAAAACATGAAAATTGCAAGTATGCGAAAGTCGTGAAATCTAGAGGGATGGTCTGGTCTACCAGCTCTTTCGGGGCGTGCAAACCAAGAATAGCGAGAGCTTCTTGTATTGCGCCAAACGGCGGTAGGCACTACGAAAATAGGAAATCAAGCAAACCAAGGAGTAAATTGGCTGGGGTTGGAGATGAAACTTGAACTCGGAAGGTTCATTCAACGGCAACACAGTAAATTCGGAAGGTCCATCCCTTTGCAATTGGGGAGCTGAGCACGACTTGACTGGGTAGAGCAGCCTTGAAACGTAAGAACGAATCAAACCTTTTCTTAGGGGGACCCGGGAAAGATGGGGAGCGGAGACAAGCAGACTCAGAGAGGAGTGGCGAGAAGAGTGGGAAGAAAAGCGGCGGGAAGAGTGGAGCGAAGAGTGGAGTTGAGCAAAGAGTGGGCGGAAAGGGGAGAAGCGGCCAAATCACGGGCGGTAGTCAAACCCTGGTGCGGGGGGGTGGGGGCCAAGTTAAAAGAATAAAGACTTTGTACCAAGCCTCTCTAAAAGGCGCCTTGCGAACGCCAGGAAGTACCCAGGCAAAAGCAAAAGGCACGCGGGCATGCACCCAAAAAACCATGGAGCCGCTGGATGCCAAGCGGCCAATGGCTTCTGCTCAGGGCCTTGCAGGTCAATAAACAAGTTGCCCGGATGCAAGTCCCCGTGCAAGAACTTGTCCTGCAGGCCTCAGATGCGGCCAAACAGTCCACACTGCCGTTTGGCCTAAGATGCAGCCCAACAGCCCAAAACTGTTCCAACATCACTATTGGGGGCATGTGCACCTGTGTGTGTGTGTGTGGCTGGGCCCAACTTCCCAATTTCATTTCTGATTTCCATGGCTCCCGTGCTACTTTGTGTAATGTTAAGCTTGGCACCTTCAAGCCACGTGGGGTTTGCGATCTTAAAAGAAGTGTGGTCAGAATTCCGAATTCGTCTCTGTACAATAAGGCAGGCCAAATTATATCGCAATTCCGAAAGACAATGTGCCATGTTGCGTCTATGTATGCTCACATGCAAACAAATCAGTAACATCAATGTTGCTGTTGCTTCATTCGGCATTGTATTCGCCAGCTGCGCATCTGGCCTCTATCAAACCGCTTCAGGTTTCTAAGGCATCAGTAAAGACTTTCACAATTCACTGGGTGGGCCACGAAACATACATACGGCTGCCAACAAAATGTGGCTAGATGTTTGCCAGGGCAGTTTCTTGTCGCTTGCTTAGCAAAATATTTGAACGCAAAAGCTGTCCAAACCATTTCTTCACAACGTGAAAACTGACGCCCAGCACTATGTTGAGCTGCATTCTTTTAGGGCCGCACATCGAACGCCGCAGAGCCTGACAAGCAAACGAGAAAACTAACCCTTCGCAACTAAGCAGCGCGTAGGAAACTATTTGAGAATGTAACAAAGCGGCATCACCAAATCTTATGGGGCGGCATGGTGTGCACGTTGGATTCCCGCAAGCTGTCAGGAAAACCACGCGGCAAAGCAGAATAGTCACAATTGCCAAATCACCCCCAACTTCAACTTGACGCAGCATCGGTCTGGCCACAAAACGCAGGAGACCCAGTCAAGCAAGGCGGCCCATCTTGGCCATCATGTCTGTCAACACATAGTGGACGCTTGTGCGCAATTCCACACTATGGTTCGCCTTGATGAAGTCAGATAACGAAACTCCTCACCGGCGCGACCAAACAAGTCAAGAGGACGCGGAATAATTTCGCACCTCCAGCCTTTGATAGCAACTACTTCCACTAAGTCACTAAGGGCCCTTTTGCCATAACCCCTCTGAAACCAGTAAACCGAACAGCACGACATTCTGGTTTCTGATAGAGATGTGTGCAAGAATCCGAGCATGACCAGCATTGATGGATTTGAAAAAGACGAAACTTGCCTCGTCGCCTTGCAGGAACCCGCTCTCAGCGTGGCGTTTCAGCGAGTCCTGGCGCTTGGCCCATGACCAGGACAGACTCCGTGTTGGCATAGATCCTCGGCACCTGCCCATGGGACCTGAAGCCTTACGTTAGACGCCTGAGGTCGGACCACACTGGTCCAATGGCAGGTGTGATGAACGGAGCTGCGTTAAGGGGGCGGCCCATTGCTCTGATTGCTCATGCCCTGAACAGGGGAAGCAGAAGTTGAGCAACAGTGCCCTTTGCTGAGACAGGACGCCCGCCAGCTTATCGGTCACACACTGTTGCCAACATCTTCTTGCAAGTCGACGTGGCCTATATTACAAAAATGTGAAGTGCATTTCTCAACCTGTCCCTGCACCGTTCGAACAACATTCGCGCAATGGGCAGTGGCATGCGTACCTCTTCGGTCTGCATGGTCAGATCATGAGTCTAGTGGCCAAAACTGTTGACACTGCTGCTGCCTTCAGGCAAAGCACAACCCGGGGGTCGCAGCGATCTAACTTGCATTTTGGATGCATTCGGGTGAGGGACTTGTACTTGGAAGGGGGACGCCGAAGAGCTTCCATTGCGTTGAACAGGTGCTGTGCGACAAGTGGCCCTTGCTGGAAAGAGATCCTTCACGCACAACCAATGCAAGATCAGCCTTTCCTTCCCCATTGAAGATGAACATGTCAAGCTGCACTGAAGGGCTTGCCGATTTGGCCTCGTAGCCGAACAGGAACTGAACAATTTGCAGTCGTGCACATGTGTGTTTACATGCACAAGTATATCAATACACATAAACCTATCAAGGTGCTAAAATGTAAGCAGCATGATTTCCGCGGCCTGGATGTTTTTGCGCTTCTTGAAGTTCTCAGTGAAGCGGCGCATGTGGTCGGCCTCTTTCCGCAGGTCCACCTCGAGATGAGCTGGGCCAAGGCCGCGATATGGGGCATGGGTGTAGCGGGGATATCCTCCCGTGAGACTTGGCGATGCTTCGCGAATTTTGCGCGGGTGTCTGCGGCCAAGAGTCGTACGGTGGGATGAGTTCCCGTATTTCTTGGGGAGGATCCTCCCGATGTGGGGGTGTGGTACGGCCACAGGGCACCCCAAATGCCATGCACTTGCCACCCATGGAATGGCCATCTCAACCATGCAGCGGGGGGTATGTAATTAATGGGAGCAGCCGAGCCTGCTGCATCATGTAGACGCTGAAGTTCTCCAGAGCCTTGTCCAGGGCCATCCACTTCAATGAAGGCTTGAGTCCTTAGCTATTTTTGCGCCAAGGGCCCTCATGGTCCCCATATTCAGCCATCTTTTGCTGGGCTTTCATTTTTATTCGCTGTGGGCACTCCACGCTCCACCAGCACAAGGGGGCCGCACCTGAAGTCACCCCCTCCGTGTCCCATCCCTTTTGATTCAAATCCGAGGGGCCCATCACCACCTGCGCCGCCAGCTTCAGCAGCCGCAGGTCCACCTCCAGTCGCGGCACGATGCCGCTGCGGCGCACCTTCACCGCCACCTCCTGGCCTTCGAACCTCGGGACTCTAAGCCCACGGTTGCGACTGCGAAGTGGTAGCTCTAAGTTGATGCTTTTGGACCTTTGGATTGGTTTTTTTTCGCAGCGTCGGCCCCAGTGGAGGCATGAAGGCAGAACCAGTATGCCATGGCCCGTCCAAGCGATCAGACAGAAGACTATGCGCGGGCCATTGCAAGGTCACCGCCATGAACGTGCCTGAAGTCATCGACTCAGCAGGACCCCAGCACAAGCCAAGCAGCAGGCCGCTGTAGACTTGCGCGACGCAACCACCGCCAAGAAGGTCCTGCGTGCTAGCTTGCCCCTTGAAGTGGGAGCTTGCAGACCAGTGCTCCCCAAATATGCAAGACCAAGGACTATCCCCAACTGCATCGGAGTCAGTCAGCTCCTAAGCTTCCACAGAAACCTCTCAGAACCGCCCCGGAACCTGCCCAGGAAGTTCGTGGGCTCGCAAGCTAAACGCGTAAAACAAAGCGGTCCCTCCTGCATGCTTGGTCACGCCTTGCTTTGGTGTCACTTCAACGCAGCCATCGCTCGTACACCCTTCTGTGGTACATCCTCCCCGCGACGTGCAAAATGGGTCTTCCCAACGGTCCACACGTTGTCTGGGGGGGGCGTCAAAAATGCAGCGTCGTCATTTTGGGAAGTGGGAGCAAGGTTCTATCGCTGTGCCCAATGCATCCAAGCTCTGGCTCCCATGCCAAACGGGGTCCTCCATTCTGAGACAAACCCACGCGATGCCAGCCCAACCTCCTTGTCAGGTTGTTCCCCTTGCAAGAAAACAGCGCCACCTACAAGACCACAAAGAGTGGCCTCCCGCCGGGAAAGTGAAGAATTACTAGCTAAGTCCCCAAGGAAACGAGCCCAAATTGGCCCGTCCTGGACCTCCAGGCCCGGAATCTCGGCGACCGCGTGGCGGATATCTTGACGAGACCTCGGGTGGCTTCGGGGCTGGAAGTGAAGTCCAAAGGTCAGGTGGGTAAGCTTCAAGATAGGGGGAACCTACACTTGTGCTCTTCCTTTGCCATCCTGAGAGCCAGCCTAAACAGGCTACAAGGCGACTAGGTGACTAGCTGAAGCGGGAAACCACACTCGGACTGACGGGTGGTAGGTGAAGCAAAGGGATGAACCGGATGCGAACCCAGGCCTCCAACGACAGATCTTTAGCGCGCCTGCCTCCCCCCCCCCCCCACATTGCGCTCAGATTTCACATGCCAGCTGTAACATCAGGTGTTGCCTGAACTGTTGGCAAGCAGCGCCGCCCAATTGAAGGTGGGTTCTCCTCATTTCAAGGGGGGTCCTACGCAGGCCCACATGCAGCTTCAGCTGCAGTGTGCTCGGCACATGCTCGTGCAGCGTGCCCATGGCATCACACAGATCGTTGGGGAGGATGTCCCGTCTCGTGGATAGCCACCTGTGCCGCTCCAGCGGCAGGAAGACGCGGCTTCAAGATGCATCACACATCCGAATGACAAACACCTAAATCAAGCACCCGGCGAACGAAAAACTTCGAAATTTGCCATGTCCACGGAACCTGCTTGGGCCGTGCCATCCGTGCCCAAATGTAGTGCTTCTGCCAAGGGGCTGCGCAAGTTTGATGAACACCGGGCCACTCAATTGCAGTGAGTTCACCACCTGGCCAGTTGCGCGGTGGTCAGAGGGCTGCAAAGCGCACAAGCCTTGTTGCAGGTATGGGACCAAGAAATTACTGCATCTTTTTCGGTGTTCTGTGGTTTGCCTGCAATATCCTAGGAGTCCTTTTGGAGAAATACATGCATCCCGCCCGATAACGCGCAGGAAGCAACCAATCTTCTGCTGGGCTGTTGTCCTTTGCTGCCATGCTGAATGGCCCATCCGGCGCTCATTTTGCTGGTGCATCCAAGGCGCCACGGTGGGGCTGGGCCATATGAGTGCTGAAAGGAGTGCCGGAGTCCAAACCACTGAGAGATACGTGGCACGGCGGACAGTGGGCAAGACGAGCACCTCGGCTCAACGGGTCGGTCTTCTGCCCTGCGCCCTTCGAATTTCATTCAGAGACCAATGGGCAATGGTCACTAGCGGCCATCTCAGCCTCAGGGAACTAAGGCTGACCATATCCGGGGCAAAAAGCATTCCCCAGAACGCACGCAGTCAATTAAACAAGGAGCGAGCGGGGGCCTCCCAACATGTTGCCTTGGCTGCCAATCACCGAAAGTTTCTACCCCCCAGGCGAGCGTCCACGGCCAGCGCCAGAACCAAGAACCAGAGTCGACGACGCCGCGGTCTAGGCACACGGGCAGGCCCCTCCTCCATGGCAAACACGGATCACGGAGCAAGTTGGAAGCGGATGCTGATCCTGCTGTGCATCCACTGTTCTGCCAACTCCTCGTCACCTCAAACTTTCAGAGCTTGACTGGTTGAGTGCAATGGCAGGGCTGCGTCAACATGTCAAGAAGCCTCATCACGCATATGCAACCTCAAGCTGCCACCCTTTGAGCCTTACGAAACATGCAAACCGCAGCGCGGGGCCAACGGCTCATACGAGACAGACATAATGTGCACAAAACCATCCCAAACCCTTCTTTCTTTGTGCTCTGCAATTGCTGGCAAACCCGCGTCTAATCTAAGGTTGGACTGGCCCTGAGGGTCCTTTTTGGAAAGAGCAAACGAGGGACTGCTGAGCGCTGCCCAAATGGGAAAAAGGGAGGCACCCACGTGCTCCCATCGCACCACCGCGTGCAACGGGGTGTTCTGCAAGTCACCGCTGGAGCGATGCGCCTGGAGCAGGCCGATTGGATTGTCTGAGTGCCAGGCTTCCACGATTGAAAGGGGGGCAGCTGAAGCTCATGGACAACGCGCAAAAAGGAGCCTAGAGATCTTCATTGACTGTCCTGTTCTGGGATGTTTCGGGTTTGGGCATCTGCCTGCAACTTCACCCCTCTGAGGAATCAGGAAAAATGAGCAAGGACCAAGCACGCGAGTCGCCCTTTTGCTACCCTCCAAGCTCCCAACCAGCGCTTTCGCCAGCATGTCCTTGCCTCCTGGCAGCGGCCATTCCCAAGACCCCCAGAGGCGATCACTGCCTCATGGAGCTCATTGGACTCATTGGGCCCAGGCTCCGAAATGTTGGTCCCATGGCAATTTGACAATCTCCATGGTCTGTACCCCAAAACAACTAAACCGCTTGTTGAGTGAGGATCACATGGGCATGGCTGCTTGCCACACATGCAGCCCGCTCAAAAAAATGACCAAGGCTGTGGCGAAGAGCCTCCAGTAGGATTTCCAGGGCCTGGGCCGTGATGCTTTCTCCATCTCTCTCCCTCTCGTTCAATTCAAGCTTTCGTCCAGTGCTGTTCCCTGTGACCCATGCCGCACTCTGCCAGGAAACAAGCTCGGCACCCGCATGCTCCTCGCAAAGTGGCGCCTGCCGCAGGATGCCCCCAGGGCCGGGCGCAGCAACGCATCTCCAACAAGTCGTGAATACAAAACCAAGCAATTGCTTACATGGGGAGCTTGGCAATCTTATTGACCCGATTTCCTGCTATCAACAGCCGATGATCCGTTGCAAGGGGCCGTTTGGCTTCCCATCGGAATTGCTTCCAGCTCTCAGGAACAATAGACATTGGCCAAGCCTTCCAAGTTGCGCTTGCCTGGCCTTTCTAAAGCCGGAGGCAGCCCTGTGTCGTCACCTGTCCGTGCTCGCCCCGAGAGCTGGGGCCCGTCGACCCAAAAACCCTGCGCCGCGTCACGCTCATGGCTGGCAAGAGAACGAATAGCTGCCATGAAAGTAGCCAGGGGCCTCCTCGGTATTTACAGGGCACGGGCACACGACACACACACACAAAGACACACCCACACGCAAGCAGCCACAACAAACACGTTCTTAGTGCGCCTTGCCAGGCCGTCCACTGCCCAACTACCCACATGCCCCCCTACGGCCAAGGGTCAAGCATGCGGCCCCCACATGCCCCCACAGCCTGGCCCGAATTCGGCTGCCAGGTGCAGGGGCAGCTCCCCACTGGGCGCAAGTCAAGGAGGCGTATCCCCCAGAACCTGTTTTGCTTTATCCCCCCCCATAAACGGACAAAGTCCAAGCCAGGGTCCACCAAACAAGTGGTTCTCGGGGTAAGGCGTCCCTGTAATTGACCATCTTTCTGCGTCTAACTTGTTGAGATTCATTTCGAGCATTCTCCGTTTGCACTTACCGCCCCCGCTTGTAAGGCGCCCTATTGCCGTATGCTGCCCGCGTACCTTACCATCCACCCGTGTGCCCGACAACTCGTGGTGCCTCGCGCCTGCCGTTCTCCAGGCAAGGCGACGCCCCGCCCTGCAGCAACGCCTCCAAGGCCTCGCACTATCCCAGGTCGGCGGCGTGGATTGGCGCACTTCAGCCACTTCCCCCTGTGCTCGGTGACTTCAAAGTGTGGAATAAATTGGGTTTTTTAGGTGTGTCCTTTCAACTTGAGCAAAGGGAAAACTTAAAACGCAGACACATCGGCGAGCCTTGGGAGAGCCATAGAGGACCGCGCAGTGAAGAGCAGTGTCGCCCTGATCATCACCTCCAGAATCGTTGCGTGGAGATCTTTGACAGAAGACATGCACTCTCCCAATGTGATCCGCAGAGAGGTCCAAGGATAAAGATAACGAATATCGGCAAAAGCCGCTCTGTTTCTCAGAAGGCTGCGGTTGTGAGGTTGTGATTGAATGGTTGTCATTTCGGTGGTGCTAGTGGCCGCATATTCTGGCTGAACTTGATAAACCCTGATTCGTTTTGCCAGCTCTGTCTGCACGGCACTGGTGTGCAAAACCAAAGCATTGTTAACTCACGCCTGTCAGCTCACTAACGAACAAAGGCAGGAGGGTCAGTGAGTCAGGGGCCAAAAACCAAACAGCTACTCAACCAGTCGGGACGGGCTAGCGGCCCGGCACCTCAGAAAGAATAAAGCCAAGAGAGCTCCACAACCAACCAGGTGGAACTGGCATCAACTAGAGCAAAACATGGCGTTTGACCCGTCCAACTACCTCTGATGGGCTTGTGTGAATGCAGTGTTCGGAAGGCTCAAGGTCCGGTGCGAAGGAGAGGCCCCCGAGTCTTGCAAGTCAGCCTGTCGACGCTTGACTCACAGGAAGGCTCTGTCTCTCTCTCTCTTTCTCTCTTTCTCCTTTCCCGTGCCGTCGAAACTGAAACCCGCCGAATGGCCCCTTCCAGGGGGACAACCCCTGCGCCCCTTTCGGGGGGACAACCCCTGCGCCCCCAGTCCCGGAAAAGAAAAAAAAAACAAAGACTGCACGGTTCTTCGAGCCCCCGGGCCCAGCGAGGGATCTGCCTGCGCCCGCAGCAGGGCCTCTACCTGGGCGACTGCAAACCTGCCACAACCTATGGGAAGGCGATGAAAATCTGCGGAAATGGAAATCTGCGGAAACCTTTGGGAACCTTTGGGAATTTTAGGGGTTCTTTGGGTGAGATGTTTGTGGCTGGACCATGTGTTTCATTACCCTCCCGCCCACTAACACGGAATCAAGCAGGTGCCTAATTGGCATTTTGCTCAGTGATAGAACACGGGAGCAAGTCGGTTGCCAAGATTTATAAGCGGTGTTCGTCCTAACCCCCCGTCAAACTTATGATTCTTATGATCACACTATGGTCAAACCAAGGAAGTAGAACCCCGTGCTACAACCTTGATTTGTCTGCAGGTGTCGAACCTTCAACCTGAATGTGAAACACGTAGGCTACACAGAACTCATACCAGGATAAGCAACGTGGAGAAAACACCTGACGTCGCAAGAAAACTTCTTGCACAGCTGGCTGCAATCAGCGCTCAGGAAAGCTGAGCGCTGCACAACGCCGGCCTTACATAGCACCGCATTCCATCGCGATGCATCGCAAACAAAGTGCTTGATGCATGGGCATGTTCTACCACATTTGTCCAAGCGCATGCCAGCCATTTTCAGTCAGGAGAAGCACCTGCTGAAACACCTACAGAGATTTTGGAACACTCGCACCGATATGTTCAAGACACCAAACTACTCATCCATCCGAGCCCTACACTCGGCGGCGAAAGTCAGTGCACGACAGCTTACACAAGCAAATCCCACTGTGACGCAAGCGCATTCACGAAGTCAGAGAAGTCAGTGCAACACTAGCCAAATCCCACTGTGACGCAGTATGTCAAAATATCCGTTTTTAAGCGCTAATTTGGACGTGCGATGTGTAAATCCCACTGTGACGCGGTATGTCAAGATATCCGTTTTAAGCACTAATTTGGACGTGCGATGTGTAAATCCCACTGTGACGCAGCATGTCAAGATGTCCGGTTTAAAGCGCTAATTTGGACGTACAAAGTGTAAATCCCACTGTGACGCAGCATGTCAAGATAGCCGGTTTAAAGCGCTAATTTGGACGTACGAAGTGTAAATCCCACTGTGACGCAGCATGTCAAGATGTCCGGCTTATAGCGCTAATTTGGACGTACGATGTGTAAATCCCAATGGGGCGCAATGGGATGCGCAGCTGGGACAAGTATCAAGTGGGAGCACCGGAAGCAACAAATCCCAATAGGGCGCCGCATGGCATGCACAATATAATTTCCATCAGTCGGACGCAACACTTCAAGATGTCATGTTTTGAGTTTCGAGCGTTGCTTTTAGATCCCATAAACACAAATCCACGGGACGCACTACTGTAGGAAACAAGTAGTAAAAGCATCATGCCGAACATCCCCATGGAACGCCGCATGGCATGTGGATATCAAAGCAAGCAACCCCCTTGTCAAGACCGTAATGGGACACAACACAAACTACTCTCTGAAACAGGGAAGGCATGGCCTCTTCGTCTAATCTTAAGTGTCCCATATGCTTTGCGTACGATCAGGCAACAATGCACTTTTGTTGATGCTACCGCCCACTGCCCAAGATGACGCATATCATTTCTCTGGGTTCGTGCGCGGACAACTGAAACTTAGATCCTTTCCTTACACTTGCTCCCACATACGGCCAAAATGTGTCTTTCAACATCGTTGCAACTGAGATGCTGGCTGAGTCATTCTCCGCTGCCAAATGCAAGGGAGTGCTGCCGTGGTGCCCCACCTCCAGTATCTTCACTAAGCCGGCTGACAAATCAAGTCAGTCAGTCAGTCAGTCAGTCAGTCAGTCAGTCAGCCAGCCAGCCAGCCAGCCAGTCAGTCAGTCAAAGGCCAGGCTGAATGCACAATCCCCTACCTCAAGGGCAGGGTTGGGGTGGTGAGTGGCGGGTCGCCCAATACCAAAGGCACCGGGGCACGAAGGTCAGCCCAACTCCATATTCCCCAGGGAGT